CAACATATAGCGTCACACACATGGTAAACTTCATTGTATTCCTTCACGTACAACATATAGCGTCACACACATGGTGAACTTCATTGTATTCCTTCACGTACAACCTATAGCCTCAGACACATGGCGAACTTCATTGTATTCCTTCACGTACAACCTATAGCCTCAGACATATGGTGAACTTCATTGTATTCCTTCACGTACAACCTATAGCATCATACACATGGCGAACTTCATTGTATTCCTTCACACATATAGCGTCAGACACATGGTGAACTTCATTGTATTCCTTCACGTACAACCTATAGCCTCAGACACATGGCGAACTTCATTGTATTCCTTCACGTACAACCTATAGCCTCAGACACATGGTGAACTTCATTGTATTCCTTCACGTACAACATATAGCCTCAGACACATGGCGAACTTCATTGTATTCCTTCACGTACAACATATAGCGTCAGACATATGGTGAACTTCATTGTATTCCTTCACGTACAACATATAGCGTCACACACATGGCGAACTTCATTGTATTCCTTCACGTACAACCTATAGCGTCAGTCACATGGCGAACTTCATTGTATTCCTTCATGTACAACATATAGCGTCACACACATGGCGAACTTCATTGTATTTCTTCACGTACAGCCTATAGCGTCAGTCACATGGCGAACTTCATTGTATTCCTTCATGTACAACATATAGCGTCACACACATGGTGAACTTCATTGTATTCCTTCACGTACAACATATAGCGTCACACACATGGCGAAATTCATTGTATTCCTTCACGTACAACCTATAGCGTCACACACATGGCGAACTTCATTGTATTTCTTCACGTACAACATATAGCGTCACACACATGGCGAACTTCATTGTATTCATTCACGTACAACATATAGCGTCACACACATGGCGAACTTCATTGTATTCCTTCACGTACAACATATAGCCTCAGACATATGGTGAACTTCATTGTATTCCTTCACGTACAACATATAGCCTCAGACATATGGTAAACTTCATTGTATTCCTTCACGTACAACCTATAGCGTCACACACATGGCGAACTTCATTGTATTCCTTCACGTACAACATATAGCGTCACACACATGGCGAACTTCATTGTATTCCTTCACGTACAACATATAGCGTCACACACATGGCGAACTTCATTGTATTCCTTCACGTACAACATATAGCCTCAGACATATGGTGAACTTCATTGTATTCCTTCACGTACAACATATAGCGTCAGTCACATGGTGAACCTCATTGTATTCCTTCACGTACAACCTATAGCGTCAGACATATGGTGAACTTCATTGTATTCCTTCACGTACAACATATAGCGTCAGTCACATGGTGAACCTCATCGTATTCCTTCACGTACAACATATAGCGTCAGTCACGTGGTGAACTTCATAGTATTCCTTCATGTACAACATATAGCCTCAGACACATGGCGAACTTATTGTATTCCTTCACGTACAACATATAGCGTCAGTCACTTGGCGAACTTCATTGTATTCCTTCACGTACAACATATAGCGTCACACACATGGTGAACTTTATTGTATTCCTTCAACATATAGCGTCAGTCACATGGCGAGCTTCATTGTATTCCCTCACGTACAACCTATGTAACGTCAGCCATATGGTGAACTTCATTGTATTCCTTCAACATATAGCGTCAGTCACATGGCGAGCTTCATTGTATTCCCTCACGTACAACCTATGTAACGTCAGCCATATGGTGAATTTCATTGTATTCCTTCAGGTACAACATATACGTATCATAACATGTAGTATAGTATGACCAGAAATTATGGAGAATTTTAGGAATATGTTTAATTGGATTTCTAGTATAAACAACCTTGACCAGCTATCAAGTGCTTGGTTTCATTTAAGAGAGACAACTCCGGTAATCCTTTTTCATTAGTTTGTGAAGAGTTATCCCCCTTTGTTACTTGCTAGCAGACGACATTTTCAGTGATCCTCAGTATGGATGATTTAGAGAAGAGGAAGTTGATTTTAGAGTATTATAACAAGGACATCAGATCAGCTAAAGTGATTTCAAGTAGAACAGGCATCCCTTTGTCAACTGTTTACCGTGTTTTGAAAAATATTGCAAATGGTTATGGCATTGAGCATCAGGGAGGCGCAGGTAAGCCCAGAAAATTGACTGTCGGTGACAGGAGGCGGCTTGGTATTCTTGTTTCTAAAAACAAACGAAGGAGTTTAGAAAACTTAAGGCTGGATATGACTGATAGATGAACTGTGGCTGTAGGTAAGGAGACAATCAGAACTGAGCTGCATGCAATGGGTTGGCAGAAAAGTCGAGGAATTCAATCACCGATCATGAAACCTGAACAAAAGGGGCGAAGGTTGAACTGGTGCTTACAGCATAGACATTTTAACTGGGGCAATGTGATTTTCTCAGATGAAAGTTCTGTGTGGCTGTTTCCTAATACACTGAAATTCTGGACCAAACAAACTGAAAAACCTTTGTATCAGCGCCCAAAGTACAGTCCGAAATTTAACGTGTGGGGTGGCATATCTGTGTTAGGGGCAACGCCCCTCTGTGTATTTGAAGGGAATATGAACATTGAGCGGTACACAGATATTCTCGAGGGACATTTACTTCCATCTGCTCACGTGTTCTCTGGAAATTTTTGGATTTTCCAGCAGGACAACGACCCAAAACATCGTTCAAAGCATTCACAGGCCTGCTTTCGGACCCCAAATATGACATTATTAGATTGGCCAAGCTATATCCCTGACCTAACTCCAATAGAAAATGTTTGGGGACTTATGAAGGAAAGTGTCAATAAGAAAAATCTGACAAAAATTGCTGAAATGAAAGAAGAGGTGGTCCGATATTTGGACAGCATGGACCACGACTTTCTAACTTCTTTGATCAGTAGTATGCCCCGCCGCATTGAAGCCTGCATTGCTGCCCATGGTGACTTGACAAAATACTAACTGTTCACCGGTCTTAGAATCTGGAGTTATGTTCTGCTAATATTCACATTTAATACGTGAGTAATGAGTTATTTTTTTGTTAAAAATTACAATCTTTAAATTCTCAATAATTCTGGTTGTACTGTATATATCATATTTGCATGTTACATGTCGTCTCTTGTTTCAGCCGCAACAAAGAGTCTTTGGGTTGGTGTGAGGAAAGTCAAAAACAGTTTCGAAACCATTTCGGACAACAACTTCATTGGAAAGTGGGTGCAATACAGGTATCCGCCTCCAGCTATGAGCAAATGTGCCATTTTGACGATACATGGACTCATTGCTAAATACTGTAACTTGAGGCAGGGCTACATCTGCCAGATACGACTGCCGACAACCGGTTAAAACATCTTTCTGTAGCACTTTCTACATAACGTAGCACTTCCCATGAAATATTACGACATACAATAAATGTAATACTTGCAAGTTTCGAAAGAAGTGATTCTGTAAATTAAACAGCCCAGTTTCTTAAAACTTCTGACAAAACCCAGTCACAAAGGATTCACTACAAGTCGGACCTAAACCTCGGGCCGGGTCACCTGGTGAGCATAAGACAATCGATGCATCATTCGATCGAGCGCAGGAATTCAATATGAAGAACAACAGGTTATATTTATCGGCAGTAGTGAGTGAGTTGGGTTTTACGCCGCTCTTAGTAATGTTCCAGCAATATTACCGTGGTGGACACCAGAAATGGCCTTCACACATTGTGGGGAATCGAACTCGAGCCTTCGGCGTGATGAGCGAACGCCTTAACCACTAGGCTACCACACCACCTCTTATCAGTTGTAAGGGAAGCACAATGACAACCATCAGTCCCGGAAAGAGTGAGTCAATATAGTTTTACGCCGCTTTTAGCAATATTCCAGCAATATCACGGCGGGGGACAACAGAAATGGCCTTCACACATTGCATCCATGTGGGGAATCAAACCCGTGTCAGTGACGAGATGACGCTTTAACCACTAGGTTACCCCACCGCAGCAAAGCAGTATTGAAGACCCCACTGTGTATATGCATTGAATGTCACTGACGGATAATTTATAACTAATGTCTCATTCTCTGCTGTTAAGGATATATTAAAACACCGAAGAAAGTGTCACAGCGTCACGCAATTGCTTCCTGTTTAACACCTTTGTGTGTGATGTGACTATCATCAAAACGTGATGCCTCATTAGTACCCCTCTCGTATTCCTTATCCTAACCCCATATTCCTTATCCTCCTCCCATACTCCCTTCCATAGTCACCCCCTTCAATATTCCTTACTCATACCAGTACTCCCATATTCCCTATCCCCTTCTATACTCCTTACCTCCCTCCCATATCTTCCTCCAAACTTCCTTATACCCCTTCCATTTCCCTATCCCATTCCAGATTCCTTATCCTCCGACCATACTCCTTATCCCCTCCCACCTTTCGTACCTACACCCATATTCCTTATACCCCTCCCATATTCCCTATCCCCATCCATATTCATTACCCTCCAATATTCCCTGTCCCCTTCCATACTCCTTATTCCTATCCCATATTCCCTCCATATTTCTTACCCCACCCATATTCCCTATCATCCTCCCACATTTCTTACCCCACCCATATTCCCTATCATCCTCCCATATTTCTTATTCCCCTCCAGAGTCCATATCTTCCTCCCATATTCCTCATCCCCTTTCATACTCCTTATTCCCCTCCAATATTCCCTATCCCTTCCATATTCCCTGTCCCTTCCATATTCCCCTTCCATATTCCGTATCCACTTCCATATTCCTTATACCCCCTTGAATATACTTCATCCTCTCCCATATTCCTTATTGCCCTCCCCAAATCCTTATACCCTTCCACATTGGATATCCCACTCCCGTATTCCCTATTCCCCTGAGAGACATTGAACCCAGGTCTTTGGCATGAAGATCAAACACTTGAGTCTTCCCTACAAGTCTTCCCCACATCCCTCTTTTACAAACAACAAAGGCATCAAATCTTCATACAAATGTCTTTTTAATTTTCATGATATGACCAACGTTAAACTCACTTCTCAAAGAATCATGAACATACTGTACATAAAAAGTCTTGTTCCTTAAATCTTAGTTCCAATAAACAATACACTGCCTCCTCGGCATCTGACAGGTGACTTGTCAAGTCTTACAGACCTGTTTGACAAAGTGGAATGTAGTTAACCCACGAAAATGAGAAACAAAAGCATTTTAGCACAGTCTTTCAAGACTTTTCTGGGCATAAACACGACCATGTCCAGAATGTACTTTACTGTTGATACATTTATACACACAAGTCAATGAAGTCAAATTAAAAAACATTCCCACCATGCGATTATGCCGATATACAGAAACAGATGATGTCAAAAGCACAATGATGGAGAAGTGTAAGATTAATACTTAAGGAATATGTCCATTCTTCAAAGTCACAGATCTGGTTATTTTACTAACTCAAGTATTTGCCAATATTCCCATTTAAAATTCCAACGAATGTCCACAACTAAAGATTTTCACAGCTATGCAATACCCTGTATGTGAGGATAAGAACTTAACAGACAACTTTTGAATATGTCACAATATATGATAAAAACTATACTGAATGCCCATCAGTCTCAAAAAAAAGCTAAACAAAACTGCAATAAAAATGAGCCATTCATCATAACTTCAAACATGCCATGACTGTTCTTTAGTAAAGTTTATTTGATTGGTGGGTTATTCTCCTCCAAAAGGTGAGTAATGAGTCTGGTTATACGCCACTTTGAGCAATATTCCAGCAGTATCATGGCGGGGGACACCAGAAATTGGCTTCACACATTGCATCTATGTGGGGAATCAAACCCAGGTCTTAGGCATGACGAGCGAATACTTTTAACAACTTGTCTAGTCTACCACCCCCATCTGACAGGTCCCTATAGACACTGGGGTTCACAATGGCCACGATGCAATATGTATCACTGTACATGGGATACAACCTGTTTCATGATACACATATTCATATCAAATCACTTCTTGACTATAAACTTTTCAGAGCAGTTTCGAAAGGAAAAGTTAGCTCAAGAAGAAAGTTCATCTTGTCTATGTTTATTTGTAAATTTGCAATGCTAATTTACCATTCTGTTCTATTCTGAGAAAACTGACAGACAAAATATGAGATGTGGAGTGTCATCAAACCAGTCTTCTAGAATGGGTATCACCTAGCACTGATACACAAAAAACATATTGCATCCTTGCATGAAACCTCACAAAGCACCAGAGTATCACTGTATCATTTCACCCCTATCTAAAATGGACACCTCAGATTGCATTCCGTTGTGTTCTTGGACAGTGAACAGCGAATACGTTCAAATATTCATTCATGCTAAAATAAAGGAACACTTACCTGACTTGTACACTCATGTTCACAACCATTTACCATGAGTGTGGGGAAAGTAGAATGCTTCCTTAAATGATTTGATATGTTTGTAAGTAATCTAGCTGCATACTGACTTGCATAACTTGAGAACTTAAAATACATCATATAAAGTTGCCACTTCTATAAATCTCTACTTCAAAATTGAACATCAATTCATCTAGTTTCCAAAACTTTTATTTAAAATTTGAAAATTCAAATAGAAAAACATGCAATAATTATCTCCTTTCCTTAAATCAGAATCAGTGGGCCATCTGAATTCTGGGTTTTTTTCAATTCAGAAAAAATTCTGCCGTTAGTTTGGGAATTCTTTTCTTGATCGACCTATCAAAGGTATCAAATCAATATAGACTCCTCAGATTAAAATAGCAGATTTCACAGAGAATTATAAAAAAAAAACCTTTTCCTAATTCACTGCTTGTGGACATTTATAAATAAGTATATGTACAATTATTTGTTAAAAGTATAGAGAGAGAGAATGTACAAACAATGTTTATGAATACAAATTTGGCATAACCTTCAGTTTACTGTTACTGTAAAACCATAACTGGGGACCGTAACATTGATAAACTCTTTGACACTAAGTTAACAAAATATTACAAATCTGCAATGTCCATGAAATGACAAACAAATATGACATTCAACAAAGAAGTGAAGGTAACACAGAAACATGTCAGTCAGAGTATGTCAGTGGGAGTATTCTACACTGTCCTTTTGTGTATAGTATTTTGTGTTCATCAAACTCATCTCACCAGTTTGTTTGCAGAGGCTGTAACCTATAAAACACTATTAGATCTAAAAGGACTCACAGTGTCAAAATACAAGTGTCATTCAATAGTGGAAACTTTTTTTGTAAGAAGTCATGTTTATATTCTTTCTGATTTCATGATTTAAATGTAACTTGGTCTAGTACACCAAGGGAATAATTTAAGGCCACATGTCATGAAGTCAGGTGCTGGTTCCTCGTCATGTTTCTTCATACGGCTGTCACTTTGTATTTTACATCTGTCACAGAAATTATGCAAATATTTATAAAAATAACGTACATTTATGACACATGGCCCTATCATGATCCAGTTTTGAAGACATACAGTAAACATCTAGCAGTATACAAAGTGTCAGACATATCTGTTCAGTGGATAAGATTTAACACATAAATTTTATCACAAAGGCACTTGGTGATAGTACATGTATTGAAATCTATACAGTATATAAAAGGTTTTGAGACAAAACATTCTTTGAATGAATGACATGATAGCACACAAAATGCACATTGAACAGCTACCCACAAAAATATTTCTTAATTCTAGAATTAATAACGAATGTAACAAAATCCTCATCAAATGACATTTCTTAAATTTAGGGGTCAGTGACATAATTAACTAGTTCATTAACTAATAGTCAGCTGCTGAGATCTTCATATTTCATAGCAGAAGTACACAGACAACAATGAAAGCATGTGGCAAATGACCAGTGGCAAGTTACCAGGAAACATGTAAACACCATAACATCATTTACTACGCAGAACAAATCAATCACAGATCGTCCTAAAACTGAGGATTAACGCTAACTGCTTGTGCATCAAGGATGCAGGCAAGGACAAGTATCAGGGGTGGAAATAACTTAAAAATTGCTAGTGTAATCCGGTACAGTGGCACATGTAAAATCACTTGCCCTGATAATTTTTCCACTATACCGGCCATTTTCTTGTTGATTTTTTAATAAACAACATAATTAACGTTGGAAAGTCAACTGGACACCTGTACAGTGTGATATACAAATTTGCTTGCCCAACAGAAAAAAACACTGGACTCCGACGTCGAGCAATGGGTTATTTCCACCCCTGAAGTATGCCTTTGGGCATCTGTAAGGCATACTTACACAATGTGCAACACATCTACATGGAGTGTATAAGTACAGGAATTACAGCAGACATAGTGTCAAGACGGCTTTATACATGTGGCCTATGTTTGCTCTGTGTTGAGTTCAACCTTCATAAGGAATTGTTCAAGAACAAGCTCACTGAGATTCCATTCCGCAGTTAAGGATAAATACATTACATAAATACACATTATACTGACTCCGAGCCAACCAGTCCTTGTTGTACCCATTAATGCCGAACGCCAGGCAGGGACCAACCAGTACCATAATTTTAACGTCTTTTGCTATGACACGGCAGGGGATCGAACCTGCGACCTTCTGCTCTCACGGATGGTGCTCTAACCACTACACCACAGAGGCAGTAATGCTTTTAAGAACCAATGAGAGTTGAACCATTGATTTACTGCTGAAATGTTTCATAACAGTTAGAGAGCTGGGATAAACTGCAATTTGTTTCGAAGGGTGACAAGAGAACAGGGTCCATGTCTGACAAGAGGAGTTCCTGAACAACTGACTGACTGACTGAGTTTGGTTTTACGCCGCTTTTAGCAATATTCCAGCAACATCACGGCGGGGGACACACCAGAAATGGGCTTCACACAATGTACCCATGTGGGGATTCGAACCCGGGTCTTCGGCGTGACGAGCCAACGCTTTAACCACTAGGCTACCCCACCGCCCCTCCTGAACAACAGTTTCCATGTCTGACAAGACCCACGGACTGCAGCAACCACACCTCCCTAACACGACAGACTTAAAACAGGGTTCATATGCACTGAGATTCTTCTGTGAAATCATACTAATTTACATAATTTCAGAATCATATACAAATATTAAACATAATCATAAGCCTAGACAGGATGGTTAGTATTTTCACAGGGCCATAAAATGTAGATAGATCAGTTTCTTCTGCATGAAATTCACAATTACAATATGTATATCTTTGTACATGTAATATGGAATTTTTTCAGTCAATCAAGAATGAGATTTTTGCAAAATATACCTATGTGGGTTTTTACACTTTTTACTACGAGGGGGCGTCCCAAAAATAGTCGGCCTAACTATACTCTTGGTGTCCAATGTAAGAAAAGCTTCCATTTTACTTTGAAAGAATCATTAACAAAGCCATATCCAAAATTTCACACATGTCATTAATGAGATATTAGTCATAACACATTGGGGTATAATATTTCTTTAAAAATTGCAGAAAGTGAAAAACGCTCTGTCATTTTGTACCTCTTGGATAATGGTTTGCCCTCACATAATGTCATATAAAATATGTTCAGCATAGTTTTGGATGACTTCCCGTCATAATCAATATTCAAAGATTTGGATTGCTTGATTATATTTAGACAGGGCCGTTTTTATAGGACACCCCCATTTTCATCTATCAAAAACATTGCGTCGAGATATTCATATATTACAATGTATTGAGTGCTGACAGTGGTGGATTGGGTTTGTTTTTGGGGGGGATTTTTTGTTTTGTTTTTTGGTTTGGTTTGGTATTTCTTTTGTGTTTTTCTTGTTTTTTTCGGGGGTTGTTGTTGTTTTTTCGGGTTGTTTTTTCGGGGGTTGTTGTTTTCGGGGTTGTTTTTTCAGGGGGTTGTTGTTTTTCAGGGGGTTGTTGTTTTTTTGGGGGTTGTTTTTTCGGGGGTTGTTGGTTTTGGGGGTTGTTGGTTTTGGGGGTTGTTTTTGGGGGGATTTTGTTTTGTTTTGGTTTGGTTTGGTATTTCTTTTGTGTTGTTTTTCTCGGGGTTGTTGTTTTCGGGGTGTTGTTTTTCGGGGGTTGTTGTTGTTTTTCGGGGTTGGTTTTTTTGGGGGGTGTTTTTCGGGGGTTTTGTTGTTTCGGGGGTTTGTTGTTTTTCGGGGGTTGTTGTTTTTCGGGGTTTGTTGTTTTTCGGGGGTGTTGTTGTTTCGGGGTTGTTGTTGTTTTTCGGGGGTTGTTGGGGTGGGGGTCCGGGGTTGTTGTTTTTTCGGGGTTGTTGTTTTCGGGGTTGTTTGTGTGTGTGTGTGTGTGTGTGTGTGTGTGTGTGTGTGTGTGTGTGTGTGTGTGTGTGTGTGTGTGTGTGTGTGAGAGAGTGTGTGTGTGTGTGTATGTGTTTTAAAAAAAAAAAAAAAATCTTTGAAAATGACTAAAGACGACATTGAAGTTAATGTTTTGCAATGGTGAAGCCCCCTGAACACCCCCCTTTGAAAATTTCTGGATCCACCTATGGATGACACTTGTGTGACCATTTCGTATTTAGTTTGAACCCTTGGCATCATGTATGAATAAGTGAAAACATTAGAATAAATTATGTCCTTATGATTACGTCATCTGAAAGGGGTTGGGTCATGGGGGAGTCACTTTAACAAGCAATTGTAGTTCCAAATTGCATTTTTATGCACTTTAATATTTACGTTTAATTCTAGAGGACTTCTGCCTATCTCAAACACACAAAAAATTACTTGCATATTACTTGCAAAACTTGTATTCTCTTTCACCGACGTGTATTGACAACAACTTCCATATGTGTAATTACTACTGTACTTCCTCGTCTTCAGCAGCACCTTGTGGCGCCATCTGGTTGCGGTCTCCATATTGTACACTCTTGTTACCAACAAAGTTGTGGAAGTTGTAGTTGTTGATGATTACTTGGGAGGGAGGTTTCTCCTCTTTCTCTGATGTCTCTGTTGAGGATGTACCTGAAATAGTTTCTCAGTGATGAATTCAATTGAAATAAAAGTTCAGAGGCAATTGAAAGTAGGCTGTCGAACATACAACCATTTGCACAATAATTTCTGTCATAAATTACAAAATGTTGCCAAAAACATCTCTTGCAAGGTCTTTCTATGTTTTATGATATTATATATCCGCAAAGTGTCGGTTGTGTTTGTGTTAATTTTCTTATTTCCAAAACATATTCATGAGCGAATGATCTCTGGGCATAATGCAGTTCTCCAGAACAGACAGAAACATCTGCGACAAATGACCTAGGCTCAGCCCTGATGGAACAGATAAGATAAAACATGTGTAACATGTGTATCATTCCTGCAATGGAAAGGTAATCAAGTCACCTGTGCTGTCCTCTTCTGAAGTCAACCGATGACTCTCTCCATGAACTGGGATTTCTCGTACATGACGCCTCCTTCTCCATTCTGAAACGCCAGAAGACACTTGTTGAGACACAAGTGAGTGAGGAAAATTAGTAACTTAAGACACAGACAGAGACAGAGTATCTTCCTATATTCCACTTCAAGTGGCACTCACTTACTAAGTGGTAATCACTCACTCACTTTTTGTTAACCTACATCACTACTTAAATTGCACCCGTGAAGGTCTGGGTTAGAACTGATCTTCAGTAACCCATGCTTGTCGTAAAAGGCGACTAACGGGATCGGGTGGTCAGGCTCACTGACTTGGTTAACACATGTCATCATATCCCAAATGTGTAGAACAATGCTCATGCTGTTGATCACTGGATTGTCTGGTCCAGATTCGATTATTTGCAGATTGTTGCCTGTCAAAAACCAGTTCTATGCCATTCCTGTGAATGTTGACTATAACAGCTAAGCAAAGATGGCAAAGTTTTTAAGTAAGTCTGAGGATGGGCAGTGTACCAATGTAGTAGCACCATGTTTACATTCGAATCAAAATCTTGCCTTCAGTTCACAGATGTTGGAAAATGTTTGTGAAACCTAGATAAGCAGTAGGCCAGGGCACCCATTCCTGACCATGATCAGAATGGGCACGGTTGTGTAACGGTGTTGTGCAACATCATACATGACAGGCGAACTCATTTGGTTAATGTGATTGGACATCTGACAGGCCAACCATGTTTCATTTGCCAGAAATTTTGAACAGCAAGCCAACACATCACATTATGCCTAGGTCATTATCAAGTACCTCTATAAGACTGACTTACACCGCTTTCAGCAATATTCCAGGAACATCACGGCGGGGGACACCAGAAATAGGCTTCACACATTGTGCCCATGTGGGGGTTCGAACCCGGGTCTTCGGCGTGACGAGCCAACAGTTTAACCACTAGGCTACCCCACCGCCCCATCTCTATAAGAAGGCGCACAGACGTGACTACAACAGCACATCTGTGATTGTCTAGGGAAGAGAGAGTACTCCAGAGACCCAGCACCTGCCAACATGGGAAGCTTGTCAGGCAGACAGCCAGACAATACCAAAGGCAACAATATGAAAGTTAATCAACACTATGCCATAAAGGTCTCATGACTGATGCCCCCAACAAGGAAACACCAGATAATGATCTAGATGCCCAAACAAATTTTAAAATTCTTCAGCTTCCTAACACCTTCACTATCATTTCATCAAGTTCCCTTATTTTTTGCTGGGAGTATACTATTTCATTTTGATGAAATATTGTTTCACATCTACCAGTCTACCATAAATGATGAACTCTCACTAGAGACCCATCCATCTGTGAATATTTGTTTCTTTGTTTGTTGTTGAATGCCTCACTTTATTACTGCAACGGCAGTGTGATATTTTTATGGCAATATTACACTTATGTAATACCGCTAGACGTATGACATCATAATTGTTTACAGATATGCATCACAATGCTAATACTAGCTATACCACAGCCCCCCACTAATTGACTAGATTTGGCTAATTACCCTGGAATATTTTCTTTATTCGTATAATACAGAAAAACTATTGAATCTTTTTCAGTTATTTCTTCTGATATGTTTAGACAACATATTAAAGTAAATAATATCAAAAAATGGTGTTTGTTGCTTGTTCAGTTAATTAGTGACAGCGAGGTGAGTGTCAGCTTTGGCAATCTGTCAAAGGTCCTGTCCAATGGACCATTTGATTGCAGTGCCCAGTTCATCGGGGTATTTTCAAAGCACCGTGGTGCTGCTGTTTTGAGTTTAAATGTCATAAAAATTGGTGGACAATAAGATCAGAAGATGGTCTTTCATGTGGTATATTTTATATTTCGACGAATGAAGCAGAACGGTGTGGAATTGGCATTTGAAAAACTCCCCCATTTTCAAGTACTCGCCATTTGCATGGTAAGTCCGTTTTCAATCTGTAACAACGCGTAGCATAAAGAGCAACATTTCCCCTTTATTTTGATGTATATATCAACAATATTAAAATTGGGTAAAACAGTGTGAGATTGCGTAATATGAAATAGTGCCGTTCAAATTGTGCCATTTTCATCGCCCTTAGCCCGACCCGCTAACAGCAGTGCTCAGCAGTCCGTAGATCACTAACGGTTTCGGCTACTGTCTTACAATCACAATGTCAAACAGTTAATGCATAGTGAATTATCAGAATAGTGACTTATGAAAGCTAAAATCGCCATCAGTTGAAATTAATCTTTATGAAAATAATTTACACGTAATATTTCATTCCGAGAAACAGTTCCTATGCAGTATTGTAGTATAATACCTCTGACACAATGGCATTAGGCCTTGCTTGACTCGCGGAAAGCTCAGAGTCATCACACTGCAAGCAGTTTCTATCAATTTATGTTGGAGAGTAATAAATAGAATAATAAACAGAATACTAAACTCGCTTCCGTGAAATACCATTTTTATTAAACCCATGAGAGATTTAGTATCAAACTCGCTTTCGCTCGTTTGATACCAAATCATCAACTCAGCTGTATGATGGGGTCTGTAACTAACTAGATCTGGACCAGACAATCCAGTGACTGACATCTTGAGCATCGATCAACGCAATGGCATATGATTACATGTGTAAACCAAGTCAGCGAGCCTGACCACACAATCGCGTTAGTTGCCTCTTACCTCTGTAAATATAATGGGTCTTAACACAATCCAATATGAAATACATCATCTTTGAGTCAGCTTAACAACACAAATATTATATGACTTGGTCGTTGTAACAAAAGTTCATTCATATCATTTCCTGTAACATGCAGATATAAACATAATTTGAGATTGTATCATTACAACATTTCTACACATTATCATTATGCTAAAAGGTATCAAGTAACATCTGACTCACTGACAACTTTATACAAGACAGCAATGATCAGCGCCACCACCACCAGCACCACCACCACAATGATCACCCATACGTATTCGGCGAGACTGAAACATCCAAATAAGTTTGAATCGTTATGATTCCATCATTACAAACAAACAAAATCAATTTATTGATTGAGCTGAAGTCTGCTTTTTGTATTCTGCATTTCTGTTTATATTGTTTATACTGTTTATAATGTTTATAATGTTTATATTGTTTATACTGTTTATACCGTTTATAATGTTTATACTGTTATACCATTTATATTGTTTATACCAATTTTATCATGTTTATACTGTTATACCATTTATATTGTTTATACTGTTTATACTGCTTATATTGTTTATACTGTTTATGTTTATACTGTTTATATTGTTTATACTGTTTATTTTTTTATAATGTTTATACTGTTTATATTGTTTATATTGTTTACACTGTTTTTGTTTATACTGTTTATATTGTTTATACTGTTTATAATGTTTATATTGTTTATAATGTTTATATTGCTTATACTGTTTATATTGTTTATAATGTTAATAATGTTAATATTGTTTATAATGTTTATATTGTTTATAATGTTTATACTGTTTATATTGTTTATAATGTTAATACTGTTTATAATGTTTATATTGTTTATAAACAATATAAAAAGTATAAACAATATAAAAAGTATAAACAATATAAACAGTATGTTTATATTGTTTATAATGTTTATACTGTTTATACCGTTTATAATGTTTATACTGTTATACCATTATGAAATTTTTAGAGTAAAATTAATATTTTTATACTTATCCTGACTCATGCTTATTTGCTTGTCTTCTTCTTCTGGCGAACCTAGTGGAACACGTATATCTCCCAATTGAAGTTCCCTTCAATAAAAGAAATCACTCAATAGTACTCACCACGAGTTACCTCCCTTTCCCCAAGCTCGGGAACGAGGGCGCCACCCAAGCCCATGTGCTCCACTCTCTCCTTTTTTGTTTTGAGCCCAACACTTTATTTTTCTCGAGAAATCCAAAGTGCTAAGTGGGGAGGACGGGGAGGCTTACCTCATGAGTCAGGATAAGTATAAAATATTAATTTTACTCTAAAAATTTCATATTTTTCTTATCCTGACTCATGCTTATTTGCTTGTAGAATCCCTCTGATGGATAGGTGGTGGGATTATATATACTTTGGATTTTACTAATTAGTGATTTGAACTGAGATAATTGTAATAACCCTATGGGAACTTCATGAAGGCACTGAACTGAATTCCTGCTGTATATTAACAGCTGCCTCTAAAGAAGGTTATTACAATTTACTGAATATAATAAAAGTATATAGAACATTAATTAAAGCTAAAACTATTAATGTGAAGTATAAACTGTAGATAGTTTATAAGTATACTTTTATAAGAACCAAAGTAATAAGCTTACAATATGAATATATATAAGCTATAACATAATTGTGCTTAAGGTATAAAGATAACTTAAGCTGTATAATAGTAACCAACTACTGAGAGTTTGTTAACTATACATGTTATGAAATGAACACATGACTGAGCTTAAAGATAGAACTTAAGCTGAACATATATATAATAGTAGAACTCGTAAGAGTTGTAGGTATATGTGTATAATGATATAAAATCATAGTACTGAGCTTAAGATAAAATTTTAACTTAAGCAAATATATATAGATAGCACGTAGCTATTAGTACTGTTATCAGATAAGTATAAAATCATCAAGATAGACTTATCTTCTCCGTGGAACTGTCAACTGTTGAGCGAGGATCATGGGACCCGAAATGGTGGATACCTGAGAGGCGTCCTTGGTGGTGATATCTCTCAGATAATGGTTGGCAAACACCATATCGGATCTCAAAAACATCCCTCCATAATGGTATTTAATGAACAATTTCCATGTAAAGCTAAAGTAGAAGCTAGTGCTCTAATTTCGTGGGGATTAGCAGCACTTGGAGGGTCCAGTCCAGCTGCCTTGTAGGCTCTTAGTATGACAGTTCGGATCCAGATAGAAATAGTAGTGCGCGACACTTCTGTCTGTGAAGCGGTAGATATAGGGATAAACAATCTTTTGAATTTCCCTCTACTTTGCTTGGATCTTTGGAGATCGTGCATGTACTGGGCAAAGTGATAAGTCCATCGTATCATGTGGTCCAAGTATGGATGAGAGAGCTGGGACATGGAACAACCTGTCTGGTTGACCTGGTAGTTGATTTTTAGCAATAAAATCCCATCGAAGTCCCAGATGAGCGATGTTATGAATATCATCAAACCGTGTTCTCTCGTAATCCAAAGCGTGAATTTCAGACATCCTGGCTGCAGTGGCTAACGCTAGCAGGAATAAGGTTTTGTGGGTCAATGATTCAAATGACGCAGATAACAATGGCTCGTAAGCCTCACTTGTGAGGTGTTGAAGTACAACATTCAGATCCCAGGCTGGCGCTTGAAACTTCCGTCTCTGGTCTTCCAATCGAAAGGCACGTAATAAGGCGAGTAACTCTGGTGTTTTTGTCAACTTGACGCCCGTCCTCATAGTAATGACTGAACTTATGGCTGCAAGATAAGTGGATAGTGTAGATCCTTTCAGATTCTTAGTTTGGCGTAGGAAACACAAGAATTCTGCCACTTGAGGATGTGTAGCAAATCTGGCTGAAAATCCTTTCTTAACAGCATAATTGACAAAACTGCGCCACTTGTCATCGTACAAGTTACGAGTAGAGTTACGTAGTGCAAGCGTGACCGCCTTCGCCGCTCTGGTGGAATAACCTCTCTTATTCAAACATGCTTTGATACAGTCCACACGTGAAGTTGGTATGCTTCTGGTGTTTTGTGCACTTGTTTGGTGTGCGGATGTATCAGTAGATTGGAGCGCAGTGGGAGCTGAAGTAGTGGTTTTCCGATTCCTAGTATGAGGTCTGGAAACCACGTTCTCGCTGGCCAGTAAGGTGAGACCAAAATCAGATCGAGGCTCTTCGTTTGACTGATTTTTAGCAAGACTTGTGGGATCAACGCAGGAGGCGGGAAAGCGTACGCGTTTAGTCCCTCCCACAATATGCTTAGTGCGTCCGTTGCCCAAGCTAGTGGATCTGGCACTGGCGATACGAAAGTTGTCAGTTGATTGTTGAATTGGGTGGCAAATAGGTCTATGAGAGGAGATCCTATTTCCATGATTATCTGATTGAATATCTCTGTGTGGAGCATCCATTCTGTCGGCGACGGCTGGTGCGGCCGAGAGAGAGCGTCTGCTAACACATTTTTAATTTTTTTTGCTCCTGGAATGTGGCAGGCTTTGATATGAATGTTTAGACTGTCGACTAATTCGAACAGTCTGAAACATCGGGTGAGTAGATTCAGTGATCTTGTTGACCCTTGTTTGTTCACATAAAACACCACTGTTGAGTTGTCTGTGTGAATCATTAACTGGGCGTTCTGTAACAGGTTGCTCCAGTGACTTATGGCGTTTATGACTGCTTGCATCTCTAGCAGATTTTACCCGTGAAGATCCGGGGTAGAATAGGTCTTCAGCAACCCATGTGCTTGCCATAACAAGGCGACTATCTTGTCGTAAGAGGCGACTAACGGGATCGGGTGGTCAGTTTCGCTGACTTGGTTGACAATTGTCATCGGTTCCCAATTGCGCAGATCGATGCTCATGCTGTTGATCACTGGATTGTCTGGTCCAGACTCGATTATTTACAGACCGCCGCCATATAGCTGGAATATTGCTGAGTGCGGCGTAAAACTAAACTCACTCACTCACTCACTCTAGCAGATTTATGTGACATAAGCTCTCTTGAATGCTCCATAGGCCTGACGCTGTCCTGCCAGTAAGGTGGGCTCCCCAACCTATTAGTGACGCGTCCACGTAGAGGTGTATATCCGATTCCGGCTCTACTAAGGAGACGCCTACGCAGACATTCAATCTCTTGGTCCACCAGAGTAGATGTGGTTTGACATAATCTGGTAGACTGAATGGTAGAGGGTCCTCGAGATGAGCAATGATGAGGACTTGTAATGGACGCAATTGAAGCCTGCCTCTGAGTGTCAAGTCTTGAGCTGATGTGAGTAGTCCCAGTAGACTCTGCCACTGTCGTAGTGGTAACGGAGAGAGTAGGGCTTGGGGAATCAGTTGTTGTATTTTGATCCATCTGTCCTCCGGGACTACCAAACGATTCTGGGCTGTAAGGAATCGTATACCTAGAAACTGCAGATCTTGCGTGGGCTCTAGGTCCGACTTGAGTAGATTTACTAACCAGCCTAACTGTGTTAGTAGCTTGATTGTAAATTCCAGCTGTAGTCTGAGACGCTGTGGATCTGGATCCACCTGTATACCGTCGTCTAGGTAAAATGCACTCCGCAGGCCTTGACGATGTAGGTATGAGACAATAGGCTTGGTTACTCTTGTGAATACCCAAGGGGCCGAAGTGATTCCGAAGGGAAGTACTTTCCATTGGTAGTGTATGCCGTCTAGCATAAACCTCAGATAGTTCCTTGACCTGGGATGAATCGGAATGTGTAGGTATACATCCTGCAGATCTATACTTACCATGTAATCTAGTGGACGAATTAGCTGACGGAGTTGAGGTAAATGTATCATGCGAAACGTTGGTGGTTTGCATAGAAAATCTCTGTTGAAGGTGCTCATGTTGTAAATGAGGCGATACTTCTCTTTGGAATTCTTTTTCGGCACTAGGAAAACTGGGGAGTAGAAGCCTGGTGTGATGTTTCGCTGCTCGAGAACTTCTAAGGCCTGTTTGTTTAGTAGAGACTGAACTGTTTCTCTTAACATCGGTAGTAGTGCCAGCTGAACGTTGAACCCTGGTGGGTCGACTGTTAATGGTGGCTTGGCCTTGAGTTGTAGACGATATCCGTACTGAAGGATGTTGGATACATACGGATCTTGAAGTATTCCCCAGTTTTCCCAGTGTAGTTGTAGACGTCCACCCACTTGAGAAGGTTGTACTGGGACGACTGGGGGTGGAAGACTGCAGTCGTTCCGAACCTGACTTTCATCGTTTTAAATCCACGGGCACCTCTGGATGATCTGCCTCTAGCTGATCCTCCTCTGAACTTGTTGTATGGGCGTAAAAAGAATTCTTGGGATTATTAACGGCCGCTAATTTCTTATCCCGGCCCTCTGAAGCCCTGAAAACTTAGACTTACCCGAGTACCTCTGTGCTGATTGTTTAAAGCATGCTACTAACGTATCCATAGATTTAATCATGAGAACTTCTCTAGAATCTTTAGATACTTCCTTGGAAACCTTGTTAATGTTGCCACCAAACAGTAACGGTGAAGACCATGGAGCTGTGTACAGAGGCTCTGTGAATTGTTTATTCCAAGAGCAGGAGGCTAGTAATCCTTGCCGACGTGTCATGGTAGTGATTTCAGTAAGAGCTGAAATATGGTCTGTAAGGAATTGTTGATCTTTTTTCTGCATAAGTAGTGCTGAGTAAATCATCCTACTCTCCTCATCCGTAGAGTTCTTGAACTTGGTGATGAGAGTTTCATTAATAGTCCTAGACCTATTAAGTCCGAAAAACATCCTCCTGGAAATGGTATCTAACTGGGCCATCTTGCGATCATCAATCCTATAAGTTCTGGACTTGGAATCACTGATAAGTTGAAAGTTCTCATCAATCTCCTGAGTCTTGAAAAAGGGCTCCATATTATGTCCATAAAAACTCTTGGCATTGAAGAATGGTAAATGGGTAGGTAGGTTTTTAGTAGATTTGGCGTAAGTAGTATCCAGATTAGCAGGAACAGCTGCGATAGGATCCATAGGAGGCACGGTGATATGATCTACATCATCATCTTTCATGAGGTAAGTTTGGGCTGTATCCTCGTTCTTAGAGGGAGAGGCCAGTTGTAATTCGTTTACCATCCAATATCTTATCTCAGCTTCTGAGAAAACAATACCATCATCCTCCTCTGATGGATGGTTGTATGTCGGAGTCCTAGATCTGTAAGAAGATCTAATTGAGGACTGAGGAGAACGGACTGAAGAGTGGCTAGTGTATGTAGACCTTGGAGAAGACATCCTTCGCGGAGACTGTGATCTACGTGAACGGTGATGGCTTCGCGGACGTTGTGGACTTCTCGAACGTTGAGGGCTACGCGAACGTCTTCTAGGCGATGTAGAACCACTCAGCCTTCGCGTCCTTCGCGAATGTATGGATTCAGTGTCCGATCCGACATATGAGCGCTTGCTTCGCGAACGCCCCTCGTGCATTACAAGGTGCGTGCTCAGCGAAGCGCTCCTTCTCCGTGAAGCCTGGGATACCTTATGCAAAGAGCTCACTCCGGGCAGGGTTGCCCTTCGCGGAGGCGCGTCTATGGGCTCAGAGGCCCTACGCGAAGCCAAGGCGGGCTCTGAGGCCCTGTATGACTTGATATGGGGTGGGCTCTGAGGCCCGTGGCTCTGAGGCCTCTGTAAACCGTAGCGGTCTTCCATCACCCTCATTATCTGGTTGATCAAGTCGTCTGACGCGGTCTGCGTTGAAGAGGGATGTCTCTCTGCAGAGGTGACGGGACCCTCAGATAAAATTTCTGGTGATAGAGTTGGCATCTCCTGTTGTGTGTTCATCTGCGCTGAGGTGACAGTCGCAGAAACGGGCCGTTTCTTGTGGCGAACTTCTGGAATGATAATAGGCATATCATCATCATATAATGCTAATTCTGTAACTGGTAAAATATCAGAGGCAAAATTATTAGATTTTGTTGACTTCCCTTTAGATGAAGGTGTAGATCTTGGTGTACGCAAAGTACGAGATGAAATGGATGGTTTCCTCGACTTGGACTGAGAAGACGGCAGCTCTTGAGATGCAGGTCGCTTCTTGGACATAGCGGACTGCGTCCCACGCTTATCCGCCGAGGGAAACTCAGGCATGCCACCAGCCGGTGGCGTGTCCTCAGTCAACAGTTGACATGAAACATTAATATGCGATCTATTAGCCATGTTTTGTTTATGTGATTTATCTGCCTTCCGTCTGTAAACGGAACATAAATATTTGTCAAAGGCAGAGATAGGTAAATTGATACAAAATTTACAACAAGAATCAAATGAACATGGAGTAATGCAACTAGGGCATTTTAAATGTGGATCGGTATCAGAATAACGTAGTTTACATTCTGTGCAAATTTTCATTAATGTAGCCTACTGAACAAACACGACGGAGCGTGAATAAAACAGCAGAAACACAATTAATAATCGATGCAAATTGAATAATTATACTAGTACTACCTCTATACTAACGTATAAGAGGAACTTAACTAAATATAATTAAGGATATAGTGTGTTGGGAGACACAGGTGCTCTCACGTCCAGCTCACTGGGCGAAGAAGGAGAGAGTGAAGCACATGGGCTTGGGTGGCGCCCTCGTTCCCGCGCTTGGGGAAAGGGAGGTAACTCGTGGTGAGTACTAATGAGTGATTTCTTTTATTGAAGGGAACTTCAATTGGGAGATATACGTGTTCCACTAGGTTCGCCAGAAGAAGAAGACAAGCAAATAAGCATGAGTCAGGATAAGAAAAAATTATAATATTTATATTGTTTATACCACTTATACCGTTTATATTTTTTATACCGTTTATAATGTTTATACTGCTTATATTGTTTATATTGTGAATTTGTTATATTGTTTATACTGTTTATAATGTTTATACTGTTTATATTGTTTAAACTGTTTATATTGTTTATATTGTTTATATTGTTTATACTGTTTATAATGTTTATAATGTTTATACTGTTTATACCATATATATTGTTTATACTGTTATACCATTGATATTGTTTATACCATTTATACTGTTTACATTGTTTATACCATTTATAATGTTTATACTGCTTATATTGTTTATATTGTTTATACTGTTTATATTGTTTATACTGTTTATATTGTTTATAATGTTTATATTTTTTATACTGTTTATATTCTTTATGCTGTTTATACTGTTTATAATGTAATATTGTTTATACTGTATATATTGCTTATACTGTTTATATTGTTGATGTTTATATTGTTTATGTTTATACTGTTTATATCGCTTATATTGTTTATATTGCTTATACTGTTTATATTGTTTATATTGTTTATATTGTTAAATGACATGAAATAACTCTCAGCCCTTTTTAGATTTTTAACAGAAAATAACATCTTCCTCACTCACATTCACTGTAGTAATACAAACTTACTGGACACATCATGTATTCATAAATTATTAAACTGGTGAGTTTGGTTATGCCGCTTTTAGCAATTTTGCAGCAACATCACGGCAGGGTTCGCCTTCACACATTGTTACATGTACCCATGTGGGGAACTGAACCCGGGTCTTCGGCGTGGTGAGCAAACGCTTTAACCACTAGGCTACCCCACCATGAGGAAAGAAGAATGTCAAATTTAGGTCAGCGAGGATGGACATGAAAGTTTGTTCTTTTACGTCACTCTCAGCAATATTCCAGCTATGTGGTGCCTACATGTTTCAGGTTTATCACAAGGAGAGTGAGTTTAGTTTTATGCTGCACTCAGCAATATTCCAGCTATATCGTGGCGGTCTGTAAATAATCGAGTCTGGACCATACAATCCAGTGATCAACAGCATGAGCATCAATTTACACAATTGGGATATGAATTGTTTTATGATGATATGTGTCAACCAAGTCAGCGAGCCCGACTACCCGATCCCATTACTCGCCTCTTACGACAAGCATGGGTTACTGAAGATCAATTCTAACCCAGATCTTCATGGGTCGGCTTGATGTAGCCACAGTAAAAACATCTCTATGCTGCTCCCTATATACGACTATGACGCTCTCACTACCCACAGCTACAAGCTGGCCTATGGTGTTTTCCTACTACAATACTTCAATGGAAAGTAGATATAAGGTCAAACACCGTCAAAGTCAAAGTTGAAGGAACCTACAAATGTACTTTGAGTTTCGACATGCTGGGCCCCGAGGTTTTACTTCAAGACAACCATAACCTCGACAAATCAAATTTCGGCATCAGTGTTTGACTGTATGTCTAAACAGTAAGGGAGACATCAGCAATAATACTTGAGGACTTACTTGGAAGTTCCAGTCGTTGGTGCAGTAGTTGGTGGAGTTGAACTGGCTTCGTTTGCTCCAGTGGATCTGTTTGATGTCTGAATCGGTGACTGTGTTACCTGAGATTGAGTATCTGGAACACAGGCACCTCGTCAATCATCCACCAGTACAATATGGAAGTCACAGAAATGTGTCAAAGAATGAAGAAACTGGCTATTTACAAACGACATTCCTTACTGGAAACAATTCAAGTCACCTCCATACAAATCCTTAACACAGCAGCCACATAACAAGAATTTAGAATTATATTCATCTAGTATGTGAACTTTGGTAGAATTGGGCAAAAGTACGTCATCCTTCATTACTCTACATATCCCTTTCAACATGACGCATTAGGCATCAGTATTAGGAAATTCACATTTTGTTTTAATTAACTAAAACGATGAGAAGAATGAGAAAGATTTGCTGTATAGCTGACCCTGACGAAGATGAGCACTGGTTGTCGGCGCTGCAGCATGCGACATCGTGTCTGACCCCGGCCAAACACAGCGTCCATTCTCATTTCTCACTCGACCCTTTTTACAAACACAGCTTCCTATTCAGAGAAGAAAATACAGTTATGTGCCAAGGCGATGTTTTCAAAGGATGAAGATCTATAGCTGTCTCCCTTGGGGAGGAGACTGTTGGGAAGTTGTTATGGTGTGGCAAAATGGACTGAACTAAAGTTATCTCAAATTATAAAACAATCAATGAGTAATTTTCTGAATAAAATTAATATTTTATACTTATCCTGACTCATGCTTATTGCTTGTCTCCCTTTCCTTCCGAATGCTAGTGGAACACTTGAATCCCCTTTTGAAGGTCCCTTAAAAAAAGTGGACGTAAAATCACTTACCAGGAGTCACCTCCCTTCCCATGTTTCAGCAGGAACGGCACCACCCGTCTCCCATGCTCTTCACTCTCTCCGTTTTTATAGCCCGACACAGTGGTTTACTGGGAAATCCAGAGTGCCTTGAGGGGAGGTTGGGAGGGCTTACCTCATGAGTCAGGATAAGTATAAAAATGAAATTTTTAGAGTAAAATTAATATTTTTATACTTATCCTGACTCATGCTTATTGCTTGTAGAATCCGACGGTATAGGTGGTGGGTCAAGCCACCTCTGGATTCCTTAGTGATGAATTTACGTCCTATATACCCCCATGGGAACTTTAAATGGCACTGCTGCTGTTGATCCATATGTCGAAATAATTTGGTAATTTGGGGGGACCACAATATATCAAACTCTTCTGTAATCGTACATTTGGATTTAAATAACTCCAACTCTTGATGGAGTAGTGACCCAATCCGTGTACAAGTAATTCCTTACAAGTACAGGGGCCAATATTCATGCTAGTCTGTTCTAGACGTGTACATGGACTATAAGCTCTATTCTTTGGAGAATGAGCTTTGCATGACATGCGGTAAAAGGGCGAGATACATCTCAGCGCCTTTGAGGGACCGTCAGTTGTTGAGCTACAACCAGAGGTCCAAACTGTTGGATACCGGAGACGTCCTCGGTAGCAAAGTCTCTGAGGTAGTGTTTAGCAAATACTGTCTCCGATTTCCAAAAACACCCTTCCATGATCGTGGATATTGAGCAGTTTCCATGTAGAGCGAGTGTAGATGCCAGTGCTCTAACTTCGTGCGGATTGGAGGCTCGAGGAGGCTCAAGTCCTGCTGCCTTGTAGGCTCAGTGGTATGATTGCTCTCATCCAAACTGATATCGTAGTACGTGAGATCTCTGTGGATGTCTCCGACGATATGGGGATGAAAAGGCGTTTGAATTTTCGTCTCCTGGTTTTAGACTTCTGTAGATATATTTTCAGCGCTCTGACTGGACATAAGGATAAATCTTGTATATCCTGTGGACCAAGGATTGTAGATAATGCTGGGATGTGGAATTGTCTGTCCGGTTGACCTGGCAGTTGATTCTTAGCTATGAAATCCCACCTCAATCCTAGATGAACCGTGTTGTGACGTGTGTCAAAACGTATCCGTTCGAAGTCCAGTGCAATTATTTCTGACATACGTGCCGCTGTAGCCAAGGCGATCAGAAATAGCGTTTTCTGTGTAAGAAATTCGTAAGAAGTTCTTTCTAGTGGTCCATACACATCACTGGTGAGATGTCGTAATACCACATTGAGATCCCAAGCCGGCGCTTTAAATTTCATTTGTTGGTCCTCCAGTTTAAAAATGCGTAGCAAGGTTCGGAACTCTGGCACTTTCGTCAGTTTCACGCCTGTCTTCATAGTGATAACTGAGCTGAGAACGGGAAGCCACATTCTTGCTGGCCAGTAAAGCTCGACCAAAATCAGTTGTAGATTGTTTGTCTGCCTGTTTTTCTGTAATACCTGTGGTATTAACGCTGGCGGAGGGAACGCGTACACGTTTAGTCCTTCCCATGGGATGCTTAGAGCGTCTGTCGCCCATGCTTGCGGATCGGGAATAGGAGAGACGAATGTTGCCAGTTGATTGTTGAATCTTGTGGCCAAAAGGTCTACGAGTGGAGATCCTATCGTCTGTATGATGCATCTGAATGCTTGTGGATGTAACATCCATTCTGTTGGGGATGGTTGATGTGGTCGAGATAGCGCAGCTGCTATTACATTCCTGGCTCCCGGAATGTGACATGCTTTCACATAAATGTTGAGATTGTCTATTATGTTGAATAGTTGAAAGCAGAGGTCTAGAAGATTCCAAGATCTTGTTGATCCTTGTTTGTTTATGTAGAACGCCACTGTTGAGTTGTCCGTATGGATCATCAATTTTGTGTTCCTTAGTATGTTGGACCAATGTAGTAGGGCATTTACTACTGCTTTCATCTCGAGCATGTTGATATGCAGATTCATTTCTTGTTTCGACCATTTCCCGGCAACCACTTCGTTGTCGAGGCGTGCTCCCCATCCGTGCAGTGATGCGTCTGCGTAGAGATGGACGTTGCACTCGGCTCTATTAAGTAATTTCCGCCGCAAACATTCGACTTCTGAGTCCACCATAGTAGATATGGTTTTAGCCTGTCTGGTATTTCGAAGGGATCCAGACTGTGTAAGTGGGCGTTCACAAATCTCTGTAGTGGATGCAGTTGTAGTCTCCCTCTGTGCGTCATGTCTTGAGCTGACGTGAGGAGACCTAATAGGCTCTGCCATTCTCGTAGTGGTAACGGAGAGAGTAGAACTCTAGAGATCATTTGTTGAATCTTGATCCAACGATCCTCTGGAATGAGAATGCAATTCTTCGTTGTTATAAGCCGTATTCCTAGGAATTGCAAGTCCTGAGTAGGCTTTAGTTCCGACTTGAGGAGATTTACTTGCCATCCTAGTTGATTGAGAAGTCTGATGGTGAAGTTCAGTTGCAGTCTGAGTTGACTGGGATCTTGCTGAGCTCGAATCCCGTCGTCTAGGTAGAACGCACTGCGTAGACCTCGACGATGTAGATATATATTGATGGGCTTTGTCACTCGAGTAAACAACCAGGGGGCCGACGATATTCCAAATGGCAGGACCTTCCATTGGAAATGACGTCCGTTGAACAGGAATTGTAGATCTTTCCTTGATTCCGGATGGATCGGGATGTGTAAGTATGCATCCTGTAAATCTATGCTGGCGAGATAGTCTAGCGGACGTATGAGCTGTCGTAGCTGTGGAAGATGTATCATCCTGAACTTTGCGGGTGGTAGGAGGTAGCGGACGTATGAGCTGTCGTAGCTGTGGAAGATGTATCATCCTGAACTTTGCGGGTGGTAGGAGGTAATCTTTGTTGAATTTCCTCATGTTGTAAATGGTACCAGAAAAATTGGGGAGTAGAAACCTGGTGTGACGCAGATGTTTTATCTCTTCTGTTGCCTCTTTCTCTAGTAGAGATGTAATGGCTTCTAGTAGATTTCCCTTCTGGTCTGCAGCGTAGTTGTGAACCATTGGGTTGATTGTTACTGGTGGTACTGCTTGTAGCTGTATCCTGTAACCTGTACGTAGAATCTGAGATACGAAGTCGTCTTGAAGAATTCCACAATTCTTCCAGTAGAGTTGCAGACGTCCACCCACTTGTGAGGGTTGTACTGGAACGGCTGGGGGTGGAAGACTCCAGTCGTTCCGAACCTGTATTTCATCGTCTGGAACTTCTGGCGTCTTGAAAGGGCCGACCTCGTCCGTGATTTACCTCTTGGAGCTGCGGATGGGCTTACGGCGAAAAGAATCCTTATTTCCTTTAGCGTTGCCTGATTTCTTATCCCTTGCTCTCTGGATGCCTGCAAACTTGATTTGCCGGAATAACGTTGAGAGGTCTGACGTATTACACTGGCCAGTGTATTGATAGACTTGATCATCATTACTTCTCGGGAATCTTTAGCGACTTCCTTGGCGACTTCATCAATTTCTCCTGCAAAAATGGATGGTGCTGACCAAGGGGCTCTGTAGAGTGTCTTGGTAAACTTCTCGCTCCAAGTACATGAAGTTAACAGTCCTTGCCTTCTTGATAACGTTAGGCCTGCAGAAATGGATGATAGGTGTTCAGACATGAACTGATGATCCTTTTTCTGTGTAAGTAGAGCTGAATAAACCATTCTATCTTCCTCTGAAGTTGAATTCTTAAACTTTGAGATGAGAGTCTCGTTGATAGCTCTTGACCTGGCTAGGCCGAAGAAGGTTCGTCTGGTTACTGTGTCTAACTGTGCCAGCTTCTTATCTTCTATGTTGTAAGCTTTAGTCCGAGTGTCGTTGATGATCTTATAATTCTCGTCTATCTCTGGAGCCTTCATGAAGGGTTCCATGTGGTGTAGAGAGAACTTCTTAGCGTTGAACGACGGAATACTCTGAGTCTGGTATTTAGTTGCCTTCTTGAAGGCTGTGCTGGGGTTGTCTGGAACGTCTAAGACTGGGTCCATAGGTGGCATCGTGAGTGAGTCTATGTCATAATTCACCATCAAGTATGATAGTGCTTCGTTGGTCTCTTTAGAGGGGGATGCGAGTTCCAAACCGTTGGCCATCCATGACTTGATTTCCGAGTCGGAGAATATAATTCTGCTGTCATCTTCCTGCTCTGAAGATGGATGTCTTCTATTGTCGACTGAACGAGGAGATCTGTAAGGTGATCTTTGAGATGATCTGTGTGGTGACCTGCGTGGCGAACTGTAGGGCGACCTGCGTGGTGACCTTTGAGGTGACCATACGTTCGTGAATGTGTTCGTGACATCCTTCGTGGGGACCTGCGTGGAGATAGAGATGACCGTGCGTGCCTTCGCGCGAACCTGCGTGTTGGTGAACGGCTTTGTCGAGGGTTGGAGTCTTGTGACGAATCTCTATGCCTTCGTGTGGACGTTGATTCTCTTCTTCTTGGTGACGAACCGTTGCGTGCAGGTTCGTGACGAACGTCCTTATCTGACGTGGATGATGATCTGCGTGGGTTCGGCGAACGTCTGGTCCTTCCGTTGAACGTAGTTGGTGCGGAGTCCACGTTGGTATGGCTGCCAGGTATTCATGCGGACGCTGTAGTCGAGCTGGAATCTTCCTGTATGTTCTGCAGGACGTTGCTTCCAACGGTCTGGGTGTGCTGCTCAGTTGACCTTCACTCGGGTTCGTCGCAGACGTCGTCTTCGTCGCAGCTCTCTTTTGCGTGCGAACCGTTGTTCCATCAGGTCCAACATCTGCTGCATAAAGGTGCCCGGGTTAAAGGTCTGCGTTGTGTGTTGTACTGACGACACATCTGAGACGGATGAGGATTCTTCCGAAGGCCGTAGAACCTTCGTGCCGAACGTCTGCGTTGATAGGTTGTCCTGCGTGGTCACTGTAGAAGACGTCTTCGTCTTCTTCTTAGATGTGATCTCAGGGATGAGGATGGGCGGCTCATCATAGACATCTACTTCTTCCAGAGGGACGATCTCAGCTGAAAAGGACCTCGTTTTCTGCGTTGCCCTGTGTGGAGACTTCACCGAAGTCTTCGCTGTAGCTGCCTTCTTCCTCTGGGAAGATGATGCCCTTGCCTTCTTAGACTGCGAAGAGGGTGTCTCAGATGTAGATGACCTCTTCCTCGAGCCAGCATAGTCTATGGCGGCAACCTCCTCCGTAGACGACCCCGGTAGACCACTGGAATGGTGTATCTGCGCAGACACCAACTGACGGTCCTCTGCAAGCTTAGCCGCTTTAGACATGTCGTGTAATTCTCGTCTGGACCTGTCCCTTGCACGTCTAGACAGATAATATTAATATTTATAAAAAGCAATATCAGACAAATGAAGACACAACTGACAACGAGTGTCAGATAAACATATAGGCTTGCAATTAGGACATAGGTTATGCGGATCAACAGCAGACAAACGATACCTACATGTACTAGAGATCATTTGTTGCATCTAGTACAAACGATACCTACAATTAGAACAAGATTTCATCAATTGTAAACAATGTGAATAATCACGTAAAAACGTGACAAAAACGGAGAAATTTGAGAATTAATTCCGAACAATATTGTAGGTAAATGTTAACTAAAGCCTTATACAGCTAATTTAGAGTGAGTGAGTGAGTTTAGTTTTACGCCGCACTCAGCAATATTCCAGCTATATGGCGGCGGTCTGTAAATAATCGAGTCTGGACCAGACAATCCAGTGATCAACAGCATGAGCATTGATCTGCACAATTGGGAACCGATGACATGTGTCAACCAAGTCAGCGAAACTGACCACCCGATCCCGTTAGTCGCCTCTTACGACAAGATAGTCGCCTTTTTATGGCAAGCACATGGGTTGCTGAAGACCTATTCTACCCCGGATCTTCAAGGGTCAGCTAATTTAGAAGAAAGGCCAAAATAATAAAAGGATATAAAGCCGTATAGGGGACCAGGTGCTCTCACAACCGCCCACTCGGGCGAATCAGGAGAGAGTGAAGAGCATGGGAGACGGGTGGCGCCGTTCCCGCCAAAACCGGGCAAGGGAGGTGACTCCTGGTAAGTGATTTTACGTCCACATTTTTTAAGGGAGCTTCAAAAGGGGATTCAAGTGTTCCACTAGCATTCGGAAGGAAAGGGAGACAAGCAATAAGCATGAGTCAGGATAAGGAAAAATAAACATTCTTTACTTCTGCAGAAATCAAGATTACATATCTACTGTTCCTGCTAGGTACTGAAACTGCACAGCCCTTTCAGCTCACGTGTAATGGGGCTGTTTCATTAAGTATAGGACACAAAGACAGGGACTTTCATGGATCAGCCAGTCCAAGAGTATGTTAGCGTATTGTGACAGCAGATGTCTTTTAAAGTTTGTTTCAAAATATCATGAGTCTTTAAAACCCTGTCTCTCCTGCTATTTGGATACACTTGCTAACATTGCCATATACAGGGTTTAGACAGTTGTGAGTGAGTGTTATGCCGCTTTTGTACATGTTAGTGTAAGTCAATCATAGTTAAATCAAAGCAAAACTTTCAAATTCTGCAATGAGCACATCTGCTTGTATGCATCTCCCACTGATGAATCATTTCATACACTTGTCAAATGCTTCATAACAAATCAGATATAATTTATACAACCTGAATTCAATCAAAATCAATCAGAGACGAAACATTTGGCAAACAAAGTAGAACCTACTCATATTCCCAGACTTACCATTCAGCATAAGATCCTCCCAATCTATCACACATCCTGAATCCGCAGTCTTCTCTTAAGCTGCTGCGCTGGTAGTAATTCTTTGAGGTGTCACACTCGCAGACCGGTGGGTTTCCTGGACCAGGCTCCCCTCGATGCACCTGCCTCTGATTGTCTGCAAGAAAAGATCACATCTTATACTTAGAACAACTGAGAAGACAAACTTGGTGAGAAAAAACTTCAACAAGCTTCGGAAACATTTGCACAACGAAGTTTGGGAGATAAGTTTAATTACAGCAGTCAATCTTACGAGAGTTGCTGATCATTTTGATGCATCTAGTACAGGGGTGGAAATAACACATTGCCCGATGTCCGAGTCCAGTGTTTTTGTCTGTCGGGCAAGCAAATTTGTATATCACACTGTACCGGTGTCCAGTTGACTTTCCAATGTTATTTATTTTAAAAATTCAACAAGAAAATGGCCGGTATAGTGGAAAAATCATCAGGGAAAGTGATTTTACATGTGCCACTGTTCTGGAGTACACTAGCAATTTTAAAGTTATTTGCACGCCTGTAGTACTATCACAATGGATTTGAACATTTCTTGATGTATCTTGTACTATCATTATGGATTTGAACATTTTCGTGATCTGTACATGCTATCTTTCAGCACTTTTGTACCAAAGGTCACATATAATCAAATAATTGTCAGTCTAAGTAAACTTAAGACTCAGTGTTATTCGTTACACTGCCATACTGGGTCTGACATAACCTAGTAGAAGGTCGCGTCAGCTAACCTTTAGGACTGACCAATCAGAACACAGCTTACCAAATCGTGAAAGTTAAAATTCGCACATACCGTTTGAACCTTTACCTCAAAAACTCGAACGATTCCGAATGGTATTTTCTGCACGATCGCTTCTGAGTGATACACGCAATGAGTAAACAGTCGCTGAAAATAGCGTTTTTGTCAATATTCAAGGATGTCATCTTGCGAAAATATAAGCAAACAGTAACCATGTTATTAGAAACCCATAAGCGTATATACTGCAGGTCAAATATCTGTGTTTCATGCGGATTTTCGTTTGTTGATAGATCAGTGTCAGTGACTAGGGAAGAAAAAATCCCAAAACCTTTTTGTAAGTCCCGCTGAACCCTAACAAGTAGTCGTTATCTGATTGGTTAAATCTGTTCGACCGTCTCGCATTTGATTAGACGGTCATAGGTCGTTCAAAGGTTAGCTGACGCGACCTTCTGCTAGGTTTTGTTCAACTCAGTATAGCATTGTAACGAATAAAACTGAGCCTAAGTTTACTTAGACTGAAATAATTGTCTCAATCAAACACTATTTTCAACAACTGCAACAGGGGTATAGACAGTTAGCAATGACTTATACCTGGAGCACAATGGACTGGAAAACATGACAGGCGCTGGTCCGATGTTATGTTGTCCACCGGCTGGTACTTATCTGGGGGACACAGACGACAGGTGTCCAGGGAGCCGTCAGTCGTACAGGCCACTGTCTCATAGCCTTGTCAATAGAATGTGATAGTGACATTAAAAATTGCATGATGACACGAGAACAGTAGAGCATTTAAAATATCTCTATATTTTTTCCCTTATTTCCATAGAAATAATGAAAAGAATAAGTGAACAATTATGAGATATCTCAAAGTATGCTGTTTAATGACAACAATATTTTAGCTATAATTTGACAATGGACCTGTCTATCCTGTGATTGTCTATCCTGGGATTTGATGAAGTGGATCAACTACGTCTGGCAGTCTGGCCGTCTAATCCAATTAACTGATTTTTATGACAAGCATGGTTTGCTGAAGACCAGTTTTAATCCACATCTTCAACCCACCATGTGAACATGTACGGCTGACAATCTTTCCACAAGGGAAGTGAACACTTTCTTCTGTGAGTGGTAAGTTTTCAAACTCTTTCACTGTTGCATATTTCTTGATTTCTGAGCATTTATTTTCCAAAACCTTTTGGGCAGACAGGCACACACACACGCACGCACACAGAGGAATACAAACACACACTAACACACAGGTACACACAAACATGCATGCACCAGCACAATCATATCACACTCACACATGCACACTCTCACACATTCCTATTACAAATCATGTGTTTACATATCTCTGTAAGTAACACCTACCTTTACGACAAGTGGCAATGAAGCAGGTGGTGACCCGGGCCATGTTGGTTATATTGTATAGTTTCTGTTGGAGCACCCATGGCCACAGGTGTCATTCCCATCACCAGCTAAAGAGAAGAAGCCATGTGTATAACACAAAGATGTTCCCAGCAACAAATAGCCAGACAACAAACACCACCACCATACTCATTGACAAGATTAAGCACACCCTAACATAGTTAAATGAAGGCCTAATTTTTAAAAATTAAAGTTGGCGAGTTTATGGATGACACCTTCCTCATTACTGCATACAGTGACAGCAGTTCAATGTAGATGCTCAAGTGCATGCTCAGCGGCACAACGTGTTATCAATCTCAACTCGCTGGGGTGTATACAACTCCTTCTGCCACTAGGCGCACACCGAGTTATTGTGAAGTAGCCATTCACAGCTGGGTGGACTGGGACACATAGTCACAGTACTTTGTCAAGCTCAGTGCACGTTGCTGTACCCGCAACTAAGTGTTTGCACATATTCATGTGGCCACCATCTGGTCATATACCAACGGATCCGTGGGTTCTTTTAAGCGCACAGGGTTGTGTACTGTACACTAGGGGTTGTGACAACACTGAAAGAGTCTGCACACAAAGTTGACTCCAAGGTTTTTTACACCCGGTCACAGGTGGGCTTGATCCTGGCACCTCAACCTCGCTGGATCACTAGCCTGGCACCTCAACCTCGCTGGATCACTAGCCTGGCACCATAGCCAGCTCGGCCACCATGCACCGCTTACACCATTATCAAACTAAAAGGGATGTGTTTAACAAGAAGTAAAGTGGCATACTAGAATGTTTATCAAACAATTACAATATTATTTTCCTTGTTGCTTAAAGCTGCGTTCAGCAAAAGTTTAAATTTTGCAACAAGGAACATGTGATGAGTTCTTACTAGAAACGACACATTTCTTAATTCAAAGGTCGTAAAAGGGCTTTTTCCAGTTTTATCAGTTTTATCCAGTTTATTGATCCTGTGATTTCTAAGTGAGTGAGTATGGTTGTATGCGGCTTTTATCGATATTCCAGTAATATCATGGCAGGGGGACACCTGAAATGGGCTTCACCCTCTTATTCACAGTCGACCCGGGTCTTCAGCATGACGAGCAAGCGCTTTAACCGTAGGCTAACCCACTGTCGGAGTGTCCCTGTGATTTCTGAGGAGGTAATGTATATACTAGCCAAGGTTGAATTGCAATGATCAAGGTCAATGTTTTAACAAAAGTAAACCCCTCTGCTGGCAACATGAACTGAGTGGTACTTCATTTTGAACGAAACTGGTTCAGTAACGTCCATTAACAGGACTGTCAAATGGTTACCATGTCTGCAACGAATTAAGGTGTCATCTTGCTGAGAACAAACAGGTCACAATATATAAACATAAACATGACTTACCAGACATGCCAGGAAATATAACAGGAGTTTCCATGGCAGGTAAAGGATGTGTCGACAACGGCATCCGTCTCACGTCATGGATCTGACCTGAACATATCAGAGAGTTGGATTACTAAGTATTACTTCATGATAATTACATGAGTGAGTGAGTATTATTTTAAGCCACTTTTAGCAATTTTCCAGCAATATCACAGCAGGGACATCAGAAATGGACTTCACACATTGTACCCATGTGGGGAATCGAACCCGGGTCTTTGGCATGACGAGTGAATGCTTTAACCACTAGGCTACCCCACCGCCCCTTTTTTTCAAGAGGAGCAACCTTCCAGGGATACAACAGCTTAAACAAATCCACTGAGATGAATACAGGTGTATACAACAAATATTTTCCATGAATACCATAACAGGTCATTAGTTGATGATTCATTCATTCATCAAATCAAGTAAAAAAATATCAAAGTGAATTATTTGACATGTTTTGACCATGTTCACAATGTTTAATTTGTCAAGACAATGACACATGAGCATATTACTGTCAAAAGTTATTTATAACTTGTCAGAGGGGTACACAAAGTATGTGATCTACACTACCAGTTGTCTGACTTCCATATTGTGGAAGCCGCAGTGGCGGAGATCACTGACTTTGTGCACTGGCGATTAGGTGACTCACTCTGAAAGGATGGGTTCAAATCTGGAATAGGATTCAACCCCAAAGCATCCAGAATTTGTACTTTACTAAGGAAATGTCATCCACAAACACAAAATAACAAGAACCACAATTATGACTGAATACACAAGCACACCCTCAACATCAATGCTTCACAGGATGGTAATGCTTCTGATTAAAGAATTATGTCCTCCCTTCAAGAATCATCATAACATTTCAAATATTGCCCCGAGGTTATTTTGACTGATCACAAGCTGTTCTCACAAACTGGTCTAATGGCTTCGTCCTTATTTCCCCCTGACAGACCAAAATGTTTCAAAGGATTTACAAAACCTATCTTACCTGAAATCAGATCTAAACTTGCAGGCAGAAGCCCATCAGCTGTATGTGCTGAAGCCAGGCCTGCACTGGTCTTTTGTCTACATGTCTGATGATTTAAAGGTATTGCCGTGGCAACTTTCAGAGGATTTTCCATGCAAGTCTGAAACAGGGAACACATTAAACCCATAGTCTGAAAATTACAGGTTTTTTATACATAGGTACAGGTAAGAAACATCCTTTTTCCATGTGTACAATTTTTGACATTATCAACATCATTAAGTAGGGATACTTTTTTAGTTTCTTCAATTTCAAAAGAAAATCCAGCTAAAAGCAAATTTGTGACCCAAGGGTAATTTTTGTACTGTTATAATCTACATCTTAGAAGAAAATGCCTCACTAACTTAACTAAAAACATTAAAATCTGCGTTTCCATAACTGTTAGGTATGTAACCATGGTAACAAGATGACATTTTCACAGTGACCCTTAGTCCAGATAAGTCCCACTTATCTTAGAATACTTTTCAGAATTGTTTCATTATGACATAAATTTGTGCATATTGGGCACAGGGACCATCAAATGCATACCTGAAACTTGATATCTTGGGTTTGTCCTGATTTTGTCCTGAGTTTGTTTCTTGGTTTGTCAGCACCAAACCCAAAATGTCTCAGATCAGCTGCAGGTTTTCTTCCCACATGTTTTTGAATTAGACTTCACAAGGGCTGTAACGAATACACTATGAGGCAAATACACTATATATAACGTTTGTTTGCAGCTTAGAGACGCACTCAGCAATATCCAGCTATATGTCAGCGGTTTGTAAATAATTAAGTTTGGACCAAACAACCCAGTGATCAACAGCATGAGCATCGATCTACACAATTAGGATACAATGACATGTGTCAACTAAGTCAGCGAGCCTGACCACCCGATCCCGTAAGTTGCCTCTTACAACAAGCATGGGTTGCTGAAGTCAATTCTGTTCAATTCTATTACCCGGATCTTCACAGGTTATATGTATCATAAAAAAGACAGCAATGAATATTAATATTAGAGTTATTAGATGATGTAATATTTATTATTTTGAGTGATTTTTATATGTCAACCATGTTCACAATGTTAATTTATCATGACAATGTCACAACATACCACTTATAGCCAATTTTTTGGGTTGCCAGGAATGTAAAGGGCCGTAGCAAAATGACACAAATTATGCTTCTGCTTGACTTGTATTTTTACAATTTTCCATACCTTGCTCTGACTAATTACAGACGAGTTCTTATAAAAAACACTTCGTTGAAAAATTCGAGAATATTCAATTCTAATGACATGACCACAAGTACTATATTGATTAGATAGAGGGGCATAATCCAGTCATATACACTGGAGTGGATTAGTGATGTAACAATTCATCGATAGTATCGATGTTTGCATCATCAGCTATGTGATACGAGTGCATCGATACAAAACACATTTAGCGACTATTCCTAATTTATGGCTATGGGGGTAGATGATGATATTTAAGGTAAAAATGGAGACTGACTGACTGAGTTTAGTTTTACGCCGCTTTTAGCAATATTCCAGCAATAACACGGCGGGGGACACCAGAAATGGGCTTAACACATTGTGCCCATGTGGGGAATCAAACCCGGGTCTTCGGCGTGACGAGCCAGCGCTTTAACCACTAGGCTACCCCACGGCCCCGGTGAAAATGGAGAACCATGAACAATGTGAATACCACCCCCCACCCATCCCCCCTGCATATCATGTACAAAATATCTCTCTCTCACACACACACACTCACACAGGCTCAGACTTCAAGTCTGGACTACACACTCACAAGCATCCACACATACACAGGCATGTATGTCCTCATGTGACACACACACTCAAATTTTCTTACAGAGCACTCTCACACACTCTAAACCCCATTTCACTTCACCACCTTATTTTTCCACACATAGCATGTATGTTTTTAAATATTTTTTATGTACAAAATTGCTGATCCCCTTCTTTTTTAGCATAGTACATGTTTAGTACATGTGTACAAAATTGCTGACACCCCTAGTTGATGTGTACAAAATTGCTGACACCCCAAAATCCCCAGAACAAAATGGGTGCCACACCACCCAAATACATTGGAATATTGCTGAGTTTGTTGTATGTTAGAAACATTAATTTCCTGGACTCTCTAAGATAAACAAACAACCTTATCTTGGATTACAAACAGCTAGGCTGTGCTGCCCACTTGTGTGCCCCTGATAGTGAGATATTGTTCCAATGAGATTTGCTGAGTGTTGTCAGGATTATATTGGATGTGGAATTTAGTCATGAAAATTTAATGGACCGTGTCATCATGGTGTTTCAGGCCTACTTCGTGTCTCTAACTCAACTCAGTGAGATATGATTTTGTAATCCGCTTCAATCATCCAGTGTAGGTTCAAAACCCCTTAATTATGTTTGAGGCAATCACAAAGTTAAAACGGTATTGCCCAACGTTGGCAGTCAAAACCATTGCCAACGTTGGGCCAACAGCCAGCTAAACGTCTTGTTCCTACCAAGGTATACACCGATATTAGGTGCAAATATACCTACCACCTAGTAGTTACTAGAAGAAACCAAATTAAAAACAACTACCAAAAATACTAAAATCCCACCGTCGGTGTATACCTTGGTACAAGACGTTTAGCTGGCTGAATTAACTTATTCAGTGTCTTGTGATGTATCAACTACAGCAATATAGATCTACTGCCAAAATAACATACAGTGTATGATTAAATCGCAAGGTTCCGTGTTTGCTCCAGATCTTTGGTTGGAGCGTATCGTTTGAAGTTCACAATACCGACACTGGTACTCACATTTATAGGGATTGTAAAAGGACCGTGTCACGGATATATGATCTTCGGGGAGAATATTAACATAGAATTTCGGAAGTCTGCACACAGATGAGATTATTTCTTTTTTGCAAAATACTAAAATCTACATTTGTAACAAAGCATCCACATTTCTCACCTTCTACGTCGAATCTGCTGTCGAAGTCCTAAATATTAGGAAGGGGTTTCCCCAAGACGTCTGTAGCGACCAGAACTGGGATAAACACATCCTGGTTCCCGGGCCTCTCATTGGTTTGTATAGAGCTCTATATAAACTAATGAGAGGCCCGGGAACCAGGATGTTTATACACCGGAACAAGATTTCGAGACGTCCGTCATCTCTCGGAACTTTCCGTAAGACCCCAACATTCCATTCATCACCAGTCGTGTTTCCATTTTCAAAAAAGGAACAGGGACACTGCGCTAGAGCAATTCCTCTTGACTGGTTGTTGCTTTTGATAAAAAATAATTACCCCGCGAGTACCCGCACGTAATCCAAGAATCCTTGACTGGGCTGTAATCTCTGCTGCGCCACCCGCAAGCGGCAGTACAAGGGCATATTTAAATCAACAGATTAAACAGGGGCGGAAACAGTGTTTTGAGGAGTGAGGGTGGAGGTCACAGTTCAAAAAGGGGGTCCCACACCCACCCCACCACGGATTCGCCTGTTTCAATGATTTTATAAAATGACTTAGATTGCCTGAGTTATTCATGTTACACACACACACGCGCAATGATGACTGGTGGTTAATTCACGGCCGTCAACTTAACTGGCGTCAAGTATATTGAAGCAATGTTCTCTAATTTAGCAACAACCTCCAGTATCTGTTTAGTTGTACCACATTTGAGATTGTATCACAGCAGCATACGGATAGCAAACGAAGTAATAACCAGTGTTTGAGATATACAGGTATAAAACAAGGTTGAACATAAGCCATAAAAAGGCATATTAATTTCTGTATTTAGTAAGGTTATCAAAAAGTACTATAGTTTCATAAGAAATATCTCCGTAGTAACAGAAAATCCCTCCCCTGAGAGAAAAACAGTGTTACTCCATCCCTTTCAACAGGTTAAAACTTACACACAGCGTGGGAGACAACATATACCAATCAACATATGATAAGAACGTACATGAGAATAGAATGCTTCCGAATATAATTTACAGACGACAAATTCTCTTAGCCAGTTGACATTTCCATAAAATTTGCCCTTTATTGTGACCCACTTTTCAATGCCATTCAAATACGCTGTATATTTACTTCAGCACCGGAGAGCAAAGGCACACGGGCGTATCTGAACGACACCAGCAGTGACATCTATACCGTAACGATTAGAGGCCTGGGACCCTTTACTCAGTACACGGTGTATGTGTGGACTGAGAGCGAGCGAGGTTAGTTTTACGCCGCAATCAGCAATATCCCAGCTATATGGCGGCGGTCTGTAAATAATCGAGTCTGGACCAGACAATCCAGTGACCAACAGCATGAGCATCGGTCTACGCAATTGGGAACCGATGACATGTGTCAACTAAGTCAGCGAGCTTGACCACACGATCCCGTTAGTCTCCTCTTACGACAAGCATGGGTTACTGAAGGTTCATTCTAACCAGGACCTTCACGGGTCTGTACACCGTGTGCAGTACGATATGACGATGTAGGGCATAAATACATGCGTTTGTCATCATTTGGGATAGAGATTTCTACCGGTGAAACATGAACAAGTTTGCAGCTGTCAACATGTTAAATACTGGTTTCCTGCATTTTTTTTATATGACTGACTGACTTTGGTTTTACGCCGCTTTTAGCAATATTCCAGCAACATCACGACAGGGGACACCAGAAATGGGCTTCACACATTGTACCCATGTGGGGATTCAAACCAGAGTCTTCGGCGTGACGAGCCAACGCTTTAACCACTAGGCTACCCCAACGCCCTTGTTTATATAGGAAGCAGAGCAAGAGTAAATTGGGTTGGTAGAGCAAGAAAGGTGAGGTGAGGTGAAATTGGGTTTAACGTCGCGCTTGAGAATATTTCGCTCATATGACGACGTGCATGCGTGTGTATGTGTATGTGTGGCTGCTTGTACAAGCCCAGACTTAAGCTGGTTTTATAGTGCTAGCCCACTAAGATACCATGCCGCAGTGAAGCATGAATACCCCACTCAGACACATTATACTGACTCCGAGCCGACCAGTCCTTGTTGTACCCATTAATGCCGAGCGCCAGGCAGGGACCAACAAGTACCATATTTTTACGTCTTTTGGTATGACGCGGTCGGGGATCGAACACGCGACCTTCCGCTCTCCGGGCAGACGCTCTAACCACTACACCACGGAGGCGGTCAGAGCAAGAAAGGAAGAAAAGAACAAGAACATCTTGGGTGAGGAACTGGCTTAAACCTAAGAGGCGAATAGCTGTGGGACATTGTCATCAACTGATAGAGTAGCTCCGCCATGATGATCATGAACCCTCCTACAATTTGAGAAATCACTCCACCCATGTTTGAAGAAACATCTTGAACGCATGGTGATGTCGATGTTTCCACCTTGAAACTGCGAATTAATGGGAATTAGAACGGGCAAGAACGTACTTGGTACTTAAAGAAATCGGACGATTGCACGCACTAGGAACGGAGTGAGAACATTGTGCGAACGGGAAGAACTGCCTGAAAACATGTTGGTCGAGTTAAGAACGTGTTAGAACGGGGTTGTGCGTATTAAGAACGAGCTAGTCAGTTTATATCCGTTGAGAACTAGACCTAAGGACGGGATTGAGCTACTCGGTTCGACCACGCATCCGTTTTGTGCTGACATATATATCATCCATTTGTGTCAAGATTGTTTAGTTGAGCGTCAACATCGGGTTTCAGTCGACTTGCAGGAAAAAACAAAGTGAGTGAGTGAGTTTAGTTTCACGCCGCACTCAGCAATATTTCAGCTATATGGCGGCGGTCTGTAAATAATCGAGTCTGGACCAGACAATCCAGTGATCAACAGCATGAGCATCGATCTGCGCAATTGGGAACCGATGAGCAATAAAGACTTGGTAGGTGTCATGAGTGGTGATCGATAGGCCAATCATCCATGATTATGTTTACCTATAGTTTTAATCGATTGCATGCGATGGTAGCGTACAGATGGGCAAAGCAGGCTGGTGGGGTGCACCGAAATGTCGGGCCTTGTCATGATGTATTGTACAGTGAAGCATTTGAGCATTTGAGGTCCGGGTTAGAATATTGATCTTCAGTAACCCGTGCTTGTCGCAAGAGGCGACAAACGGGATCGGGTGGTCACCCTTGTCATCCCTCGATGTGAAGCGTGAAAATAGCACATGATAGTTTCTTAAACAACTTTTTCCGCGATCGATCATAAAACGTCAGATTTCAGATCCTGTTGGGTACAGAGGTTTCAGGACCATGTGTCTTATTTATGTTTTGTGCACTTATCCCTTTATCGAGATATTTAATCCTTCGTCGTTCTCAATTGAACCCAAACGGACTATAGCATCGTAATTTTTACAAACGTAACACGTTCAATCCCGTTCGAGCCAGTTATACAATTATTTTTTGGACGGGGCAGAACTACCTTGGTGTGACTCCTGAAGGCTTTACTAGTTTACGTGGGAAAGAAATTTCAGGTTGGGAGAAGGGGAACTCGAAAAAAATACATTGTTTCAAAAGAAGAGAAAACGTAGTTGAGTTTTCACCACACATGTTTATATATTTTCTAAGGTTTCGTCTAACAATTGGTCGACTCCACAAACAAAACAGATTGCAACAACGACAGCACGGAGCATGAGAATAGCAACACGAGGCCATGAAATGATCCAACGCAGGCAACGGATGACGTCGATGGTCCGAGTCATTTTCGGCCTCCTGAAAAAGAAAACAGTGAGTATGATTTTACGCCCCTTTTAGCGGTGGGAGACACCACAAATGGGCCTCACACATTGTAACCATGTGGGGGATTAAAACCGGGTCTTCAGCATGACGAGCGAACGCTTTAACCATTAGGCTACCCCACCGCCCCTTGCAGCATAAAGAGCAGAAGTACCAAGACATGTGCTTCTAGTCGCTTTGACCTTCCACAATGTCCAGTATTCCAGCTATATGGCAATCAAGTCTGGACCAGACAATCCAGTGATTGACGACGTGAGCATCGATCTATGCAGTTGGGATACGATGATAGAAACGTTCCTTGTGTATATACGTCATACCCGTGACAACGACCCAGCACGAACAACTATTTCAAAAGCTGCAGCAGAATTCCAACGAGACGCATCAACACGAGACACTCAACGACGAGACGAGATGAGACGCACCTCGTTGACCAGACACGACACAACAAGGCGACACGACACAAGACGACACCTAAAAACACTACGACAGGACACAAAAAGACACTTGACCAGACGACAGGACAAGACACCACGACATGACACAAGACAACACGACAGGACAAGACACCACGACAGGACACAAGACACGACATGACACAAGACACCACGAGATGACACAAGACACGACATGACACAAGACACCACGAGATGACACAAGACACGACATGACACAAGACACGATGATAGGACACCACGACAAGACACCGTAAGACAACCAGACAACACGACATAAGACACCGCAACACAAGACACCAAGATATCACGACCATAGTGCATGACACATCACACCCATACACGAGACGAGACACCACGACACACCTCCCGACTGGCGAGACAATACGCCGAAAGACATCAGGATACGAGATTCATCAGGAAGAGTCAACACGGGACATGAGTGAGTTTGGTTTTAAGCCTCTTTTAGCAATATTGACGCAATATCACGGCAGGGGACACCAGAAATGAGCTTTACACATTGTATCGATGTGGGGACTCGAACCCGGGTCTTTGGCGTGGCGAGTGAACGCTTTAACCACTAGGCTACACCACCGCCCCACACGAGACATGAAACAACACGAGACACAAGGCACAAATTCAGTGAGTGAGTTTAGTTTTACGCCGCACTCGGCAATATCCCAGCTATATGGCGGCGGTCTGTAAATAATCGAGTCTGGACCAGACAATCCAGTGATCATCAGCATGAGCATCGATCTGCGCAATTGGGAACAGATGACATGTGTCAACCAAGCCAGCGAGCCTGACCATCCGATCCCGTTAGTCGCCTCTTACGACAAGCACATGGGTAGCTGATAACCTATTCTACCCCGGATCTTCACGGGTCCACAAATTCAGACACAGAATGAGAAGCCGAGACTAATTGATCCAAGTGAGTGGGGTTAGTTTTACGCCGCACTCAGCAATATTCCAGCTATATGTCAGCGGTCTGTAAATAATCGAGTCTGGACCAGACAATCCAGTGACCAACAGCATGAGCATCGATCTGCGCAATTGGGAACCGATGACATGTGTCAACCAAGCCAGCGAGCCTGACTACCCGATCCCGTTAGTCGCCCCTTACAAGCATGGGTTACTGAAGGTTCATTTTAACCCGGACCTTCACGGGTAATTGATCCAAGTTTTCTGTTACATTGATGGTGAAATTAGTTACCGTTATGTTCACAAACCTCCTCCAGACGCCGTCAGTGGGTTTTCCACGTAGTGACAGGAGCTCTGGGTAGAAAACATAAGTCATTTTAGTAAAAATGTCAGGCGGTACGAACTTGAAAAAGGCCCGTGACACAGCAAGACCTCTCTATAACTGTACACGTTGGGGATAGAGACAATGGCAAACAATTTACAAGAAACAAAATGACGATTTTTTGGGACACATGTTGAAATTTTAGCTAACTTAATTTTATTCTGTGTCTTTTCAGTTATTTCAATCATCTCTGAATTTGATCGTGTTATATGTCCAAAAAAAGAGATAAAGAAAAAGGGTTCTATGTTCTACTCCAATAGAATGAGTGAGTGAGTTTGGTTTTACGCCGCTTTTAGCAATATTCCAGCAATATCACGGCGGGGGACACCAGAAATGAGCTTCACACATTGTACCCATGTGGGGAATCGAACCCGGGTCTTCAGCGTGACGAGCGAACGCTTTAACCACCAGGCTACCCCACCGCCCCCTACTCCAATAGAAATGATCTGATTTGTGATCGTGAGTAAATATGACTTCGCCCATTTTATAAATTGAACGAGATACCAGAAACGATACTTGGAACTTATATATAGTGATGCACAAACTGATCATGTTATTCGTCATGATATGACGTAAATTCAGTAATTGTCCTCACTTATGTTTAAAATATACGGTTTCATTCCGAATAGTTCAAGTATACGAGATCATAGACTCATGAGAATCAAATAACACTACAGCCTATTGCAGCGACAGAAGAGAGTGAGTGAGTGAGTGAGCTGGGTTTGACGCACATCGAAAAATGTTTCAGTTACAGCTTGACATGACAGCCGAGAAAGGGTTCAGCGTCCAGCTTTTGTGTTGCCCACGAGCATGGCCCTGACAAACCGAGAAACCTGAGCGGGGAAAACAGATCTGAACCCACGATCACAGGTTTCCGGTGCACCCAGGGGATGGATTACTGCACAGCGAACTGCGGAGGAAATGACCGGGCTGGTAACATAGACCAGTGTCACGTTGGCCCCAGTGGCAGAGCCCAGTATCACGTCGGCCCAGCAACAGAGCCCAGTGTCATGTCGGGCCCAGTGGCAGAGCCCAGTGTCACGTTGGCCCCAGTGGCAGAGCCCAGTGTCACGTTGGCCCCAGTGGCAGAGCCCAGTGTCACGTTGGCCCCAGTGGCAGAGCCCAGTGTCACGTTGGCCCCAGTGGCAGAGCCCAGTGTCATCTCGGGCTCAGTGGCAGAGCACAGTATCACGTGGGCCCAGCAACAGAGCACAGTATCACGTGGGCCCAGCAGAGCAGTGTCACGTCGGCCCAGCGGCAGAGCCCAGTGTCACGTGGGCCCAGCAACAGAGCCCAGTATCACGTGGGCCCAGCAACAGAGCCCAGTATCACGTGGGCCCAGCAACAGAGTATCCAGTGGGCCCAGCATCAGAGCCCAGTATCACGTGGGCCCAGCAACAGAGCCCAGTATCACGTGGGCCCAGCAACAGAGCCCAGTGTCATGTCAGGCCCAGTATCATGTGGGGCCCAGTGGCAGAGCCCAGTGTCACGTTGGTCCCAGCGGCAGAGCCCAGTGTCACGTTGGTCCCAGCGGCAGAGCCCAGTGTCACGTTGGCCCCAGCGGCAGAGCCCAGTGTCACGTTGGCCCCAGCAACAGAGCCCAGTGTCACGTCGGGCCCAGCGGCAGACCACAGTATCACGTGGGCCCAGCAACAGAGCCCAGTGTCACGTGGGCCCAGCAACAGAGCCAAACAGTATCACGTGGGCCCAGCAACAGAGGCCCCCAGCAACAGAGCCCAGTATCACGTGGGCCCAGCAACAGAGCCCAGTATCACGTCGATCCAGCAACAGAGCCCAGTATCACGTGGGCCCAGCAACAGAGCCCAGTATCACGTGGGCCCAGCAACAGAGCCCAGTATCACGTCGGCCCAGCAACAGAGCCCAGTATCACGTCGGTCCAGCAACAGAGCCCAGTATCACGTCGGACCAACAACAGAGCCCAGTGTCACATCTGCCCAGTAACAGAGCCCAGTGTCACGTCGGGCCCAGCAACAGAGCCCAGTATCACGTCGGCCCAGCAACAGAGTCCAGTGTCACGTTGGCCCAGCAACAGAGCCCAGTGTCACGTGGGCCCAGCAACAGAGCCCAGTGTCACGTCGGGCCCAGCCCAATCAGAGCCCAGTGTCACGTGGGCCCAGCAACAGAGCCCAGTATCACGTGGGCCCAGCAACAGAGCCCAGTATCACGTGGGCCCAGCAACAGAGCCCAGTATCACGTGGGCCCAGCAACAGAGCCCAGTGTATCACGTGGGCCCAGCAACAGAGCCCAGTATCACGTGGGCCCAGCAACAGAGCCCAGTATCACGTCGGCCCAGCAACAGAGCCCAGTATCACGTCGGGCCCAGCAACAGAGCCCAGTATCACGTGGGCCCAGCAACAGAGCCCAGTGTCACGTCGACCCAGCAACAGAGCCCAGTATCACGTGGGCCCAGCAACAGAGCCCAGTATCACGTCGATCCAGCAACAGAGCCCAGTATCACGTCGGCCCAGCAACAGAGCCCAGTATCACGTCGACCCAGCAACAGAGCCCAGTATCACGTCGGCCCAGCAACAGAGCCCAGTATCACGTCGACCAGCAACAGAGCCAAGTGTCACGTGGGCCCAGCAACAGAGCCCAGTGTCACGTCGGCCCAGCAACAGAGCCCAGTGTCATGTCAACAGGGCCCAGTGGCAGAGCCCAGTATCACGTCGGACCAACAACAGAGCCCAGTGTCATGTCGGGCCCAGTGGCAGAGCCCAGTATCACGTCGGACCAACAACAGAGCCCAGTATCACGTCTGCCCAGCAACAGAGCCCAGTATCACGTCGGGCCCAGTATCACGTGGGCCCAGCAACAGAGCCCAGTATCACGTGGGCCCAGCAACAGAGCCCAGTATCACGTGGGCCCAGCAACAGAGCCCAGCATCACGTGGGCCCAGCAACAGAGCCCAGCATCACGTGGGCCCAGCAACAGAGCCCAGCATCACGACGGCCCAGCAACAGAGCCCAGTATCACGACGGCCCAGCAACAGAGCCCAGTATCACGACGGCCCAGCAACAGAGCCCAGTATCACGACGGCCCAGCAACAGAGCCCAGTATCACGTGGGCCCAGCAACAGAGCCCAGTATCACGTCGATCCAGCAACAGAGCCCAGTATCACGTCGGCCCAGCAACAGAGCCCAGTATCACGTCGGCCCAGCAACAGAGCCCAGTATCACGTCGACCCAGCAACAGAGCCAAGTATCACGTGGGCCCAGCAACAGAGCCCAGTGTCACGTGGGCCCAGCAACAGAGTCCAGTGTCCATGGGCCCAGCAACAGAGCCCAGTATCACGTGGGCCCAGCAACAGAGCCCAGTATCACGTGGGCCCAGCAACAGAGCCCAGTATCACGTGGGCCCAGCAACAGAGCCCAGTATCACGTGGGCCCAGCAACAGAGCCCAGTATCACGTGGGCCCAGCAACAGAGCCCAGTATCACGTGGGCCCAGCAACAGAGCCCAGTGTCACGTCGGGCCCAGTGGCAGAGCCCAGTATCACGTGGGCCCAGCAACAGAGCCCAGTGTCACGTCGGGCCCAGTGGCAGAGCCCAGTATCATGTCGGGCCCAGTATCATGTGGACCTAGCGACAGAGCCCACACTGCAGTATCATGTCGGGCCCACTGGCAGAGCCCAGTATGGGCCCAGTATCATGTGGACCTAGCGACAATATCATGTCGGGCCCAGCAACAGATCCCAGTATCACGTTGGTCCAGCAACATAGCCTGATACCAGGTCAGCCAAACAGAAGTCGCATCTGAGAAAAAAATAACTCACCCCATCGCAATTTTTCTCACAGATTATGAACGTACAGCGGAAGTTCATTCTTGAACTTCCGACCAGTTTGAAAGCCCTGAAGTAAGGGCTCGCGGTCGTCCGGCCTTTGGCGGTGAAGCCTTGGGTCTTCTTGATTATCGCACCGTCGCCGCAACTACAATTAGCACATGAGAAAACATGATCAGTGTTGGGCTGTTGACAGATTTGTGTTACACAGCGCTGTAAATGCAATTTCGGGGACACGTCTGAACGGACAGGTCATGGGTGTTTCAATAAACATTGTTTTTTTATCGCCGCCTGCAACTGACGGTGGTCTGTCCATGTTCGAGTCTGGACCAGACAACCCAGCGATCGACGACATGAGCATCGATCTACGCAATTTGGATACGATGACATGTGTCAACCAAGTCAGCGAGCCTGACAACCCGATCGTGTTAGTCGCCTCTTACGACAAGCATGGGTTCCTGAAGACCAATTTTAACACGGATCTTCACGGGTACAGACCGCCATGGTATAGCCGGAGTAATGCGGAGTTTAACACACAACACACACGCCACATAGGTTGACGAAAATATTACCCACCCTGCTATAAGCACTTCATACGAGCCAAACATTCCTTCCGCTTGGCACCCGATTGCCTGAAGGCCAACTTCGTCGCTGTAGTTTCCTGTTGAGAAAAAGTCCATGAAATAATTAATAATTCTTTAAAAGAAAGCTGACCATGCCGTCATCCAGTGAAATGAGTTAATAGTGAGTGAGTTTAGTTTTACGCCGCTTTCAGCAATATCACGGAGGGGCACTCCAGCAATGGGATGCACACATTGTACCCATGTGGGGAATCTAACCCGGGTCTTCGGCGTGACGAGCGAACGCTTGAACCACTAGGCTAACGCTAGTAGTGGGAGCGAGTGAATATCTTTTAACGCCGCTTTAAACAATATACCCGCAGTATCACGGCGGTGGACACCGAAAATACGCTTTACACATTGCATCCTTCGGCGAGACGAACGACAGCTTTAGTCACAGGCAACCGGCCTTGTCGCAAAATGACTCATTTCGTTGGCTGAAGTTCAACTTGAATTAACTGAATTTCATACTTTTGACGAAAAAAATGGAAATATATGTAACTCACCGATAAGCTCTGCCCGTAGCTGAATGTATCGTCCCAATCGGATTTTGCCGACTAGCCTCTTCTGTTGGACATCAGTCAGATATACGTCTATTTTCGACTTGGCATACCTCCCTTGGTTTGATAGAATCCCAACCAACGGCTGCTTGCTGCAGAACAGTGAGTGAGTATGTTTTTACGCCGCTTTTAGCAGTATTCCAGCATTATAACGGCGGGGCCACTAGAAATGGGCTTCTTACATTGTATCCATGTGGGAATTCGAACCTGTGTCGGCGGCGTTTAAAGCGAACGCTTGAACCACTTGGCTATCCATCCGCCCCCATTGATCCTGATTAAATTTTTATAAAGTTTAAAACATTATATCCTTGCCCATCTATTTGACCAAAAGCAGCCGAATCATATCTATATACACTGCATAGGTTCTATACGAAACCCTTATTCTAACGTGAAGGAATAAACTAGAAAACATTTAGTGACTTTCATAAAGTCCCTTACGTGTCGAATTCAGGAAGAATTCATTCTTTTGCCTTCCTGGGGATTTGAATTTCGCAAGTGAAAAACGATTTTCGTAAAATTAAATATACTCAAAGGCAAAAGTGACACACAAACAACTGCTGCAACAGAACAGAGCACCTGGCATATGCAGATAGGCCACGACACAAGAGTGAGTGAGTGAGTTTAGTTTTACGCCGCACTCCGCAATATCCCAGCTATATGGCGGCGGTCTGTAAATAATCGAGTCTGGACCAGACAATCCAGTGAGCAACAGCATGAGCATCGATCTGCGCAATTGGGAACCGATGACATGTGTCAACCAAGTCAGCGAAACTGACCACCCGATCCCGTTAGTCGCCTCTTACGACAAGCATAGTCGCCTCTTACGACAAGCATAGTCGCCTTTTATGGCAAGCACATGGGTTGCTGAAGACCTATTCTACCCCGGATCTTCACGGGTCCCACGACACAAGAGGGGGTTGTTAACAACCAAGTTCAGATGGGCAGTAGCCAGTGTCCACCTTGTGCATTGGTACCGTCCCCATCACCGACGCCGCTAAACGTCCATGAAAGTCCTGGGGAAAATCATTTCATATCCGAGGATTGATTTGAGTTCCTGCAGCGTTGCTGGACTATTCGGGTGACGTTGCCTCATTTCATCACATACGCGTTCAATGGATGACAAATCAGGGGATCGTGTTGGCCAGGGTAACACATTAAGATTGATATGATTAAGATAAGTACTGTTCAACTTGAGAGACGTGTCGTCTGCTCCTTTGGAGATGTCAATGTTGTGGCGTCAGAATTGACCATCGGAGTGGGCTTCTTGCCACTTTGACGTAGTTGCACATACACTGTTAGTATGGGCTGTATTGGTCGGTGGGTGGAACCTGTGATGGAGGAGCGTGGTTCGAATACATCTATAGCTCTCCAGGCGTTTCCCTGAGGCGTTGCCTGACGAACGTGTTCCAGAACGAAGAATATGTGTTTTTCTGCACTTAAGACGGCATTAAACGGAGTGAGTTTAGTTTTACGCCCCATTCAGCAATATTCCAGCTGCATGGCGACGGTCTGTAATTATTCGAATCTGAACAAGATAAGACAGTGATCAACAACATGAACATCGATCTACGCAATTGGGGTACGATGACATGTGTCACAGTGAGTCTGACTATCCGATCCCGTTAGTGTTAAGAATGCCTGACACTCGCTACCCCAAACAATGTTATCTTTACATTAAGAATCTAGATTATATTGGAAGGAACACGTGGGCTTCTTGTTTTAGGTTATTATTGAATATGTATGGTTTTGGATATGCGTGGGTTAGTCAAGATATTGGAGATATCTCATGTTTTTTGTCGTTATTTCAGCAGAGATTAGAAGATTGTGGACAAAAAAACATTTTTAGCAATATTAATGCTTCATCGAGACTTGTACATTATAAGTTTATTATATCATTGTATACAGTTGAATATTATGTATCAAATATTAATAGTAGGGAAGTAAGAAGATACTTATGTTTAAGATTAAATGAGCTTCCTTTACGTTGTAATGTTAGACAAAAAGAACATTTTTTTATAAATAGAATATGTAGAATGTGTAATAATAATAGTATAATTGAAAATGAGTTTCACTTCATATTTGAAATGAGGTGAAATTGGGTTTAACGTCGTGCTTGAGAATATTTCGCTCATATGACGACGTGCATGCGTGTGTATGTGTATGTGCGGCTGCTTGTACTAGACCAGACTTAAGCTGGTTTTATAGTGGTAGCCCACTAAGATACCATGCCGCAGTGAAGCATGAATACCCCACTCAGACACATTATACTGACTCCGAGCCGACCAGTCCTTGTTGTACTCATTAATGCCGAGCGTCAGGCAGGGACCAACAAGTACCATATTTTAACGTCTTTTGGTATGACGCGGTCGGGGATCGAACCCGACCTTACGCTCTCCGGGCGGACGCTCTAACCACTACACCACGGAGGCGGTCACTTCATTTTGGAATGTGATGCATATGTTTCTTTAAGAAAGAAGTATACTCCAAAGTGGAATTCTTTACCAACTATTTGTAAATTCCATAAATTATTGACCGCACATGTGAATATTCTGATTAAACGTGCAAAGTTTATTAATGAAGCTGCACTAGTAATACACGTTTACCTGTCAATTACCATGCATATGTATATATGAATTGTATATACTTTTGTACATGGGCCTACAAACGGAAATAAACTCTGCGTCGATCATTTTAGTTCTCTTTCTCAGGTTCAAACCTCAAATACATTCAAAAGACTACCAATCAAAAGTTTCCATGTCACAATAACTTTTGCCTATGAGTCACTAACGGGATATGATAGTGTGAGTGAGTGTGTGTCTGAGTCTGTGTGTGTGTCTGAGTGTGTGTGTCTGTGTCTGTGTCTGAGTCTGAGTGTCTGTGTCTGTGTCTGAGTGTCTGTGTCTGTGTCTGAGTGTCTGTGTCTGTGTCTGAGTGTGTGTCTGTGTCTGTGTCTGTGTGAGTCTGAGTCTGAGTGTCTGAGTCTGTGTCTGTGAGTGTCTGAATCTGTCTGAATCTGTGTCTGAATCTGAGTGAGTCTGAGTGTCTGAGTCTCTGTGTCTGTGTCTGTGTCTGTGTGTCTCTGTGTCTGTGTGTCTCTGTGTCTGTGTGTCTCTGTGTCTGTGTCTGAGTGTTCCCTTAATTGGCAAGTGGTGTTTAACTGACGTGGTAATGCCCGATCAGAGGCATCAACAGCCGTAGTTGAATATCTTGTTGCAATTCTTACTATAAATACATCATTCAACACACCTGTCTGAAAATTTCGATTTCGGGCTTTCGCGCTCCCCGTAGTTGTCGTAGGTGCAGGTGATGACCTTTGGGGCCTCTTCTCTGATGATGATGCCGCCGGTGAGGGGGACGTACACGTGAAGAACATAAGTCTGACTGTCATCTTTCCTCTGCAATAAGAGCCAGTCATTATCAAAGACATTATAACTTAGTGAGTTCAGTTTTACGTCCCACTCAGCAATATTCCAGCAAAATGGTGGCGGTAAATAATCTGGACCAGACAATCCAGTGATCAACAGCATGAGCATCGATCTGCGCAATTGGGATACGATGCCATGTGTCAACCAAGTCAGCGAGCCTGACCAACCGACCCCGTTAGTCGCCTCTTACGACAAGCGTGGGTTACTGAAGACCAATTCTAACCCGGATCTTCACGGGTCTTATCACTCCGTGAAACGGTGAAACGGCCGTGTCAGCGGACCAGGAAAAATAATTAAACCTAAAATTGCCTCCATTACACGACATATCCCTCCAATAAGCATGGAATGGGAAGCCCGTATCTTTCGTTTATTGGCGACCTAGCTTCGTATATTGGCGATTTTATCGCGTGTATTGGCGCCCTACTTTCAAATACTGGCGCCCTATTACTGACCCGGTCCTAACGCTAAATCAGAACAGTAATACCCCCTGTACTGAAATACAGAAACAAACTCAATGTTTTCATCCATTTATTACTTGTCAAATGTCACTTTAGCACCATTACGTTCCACAACGCAGTGTATAGTTTTAGCACTTGAATTGCAGCAGTATAATGGTGGGGGACACAAAGCATGGGCTTTACACATTGTGCCTTTGCGGGGAATCGAACCCGCACCGCAGGCACTGTAACCACTAGGCCACCTCACTTATTAATTACGTATATGGGCGGTGAGGTAGCCTAGTGGTTAAAGTGCCTGCAGCGCGGGTTCGATTCCCCAGTCATCACAACCCACTGGCCTGCAGTCAAGTTGTACATACATTGCATACAAGCTGCACTGTAGCCGTCGTCATGTTTTTTTTAAACAAACTATTTTTGTAAAACGATATGAATTTCATTTTTTTTTAATTTTAAGATTTTAACTAATCACCATATTATTCACTCACCTCAATGACATGTACTTTTGGTCAAGTCTATATGGACAACGGCCCATTCAAATAAATAGCGGTTTCAAGCAACTTTTCCGGGGTGTCATCCCCAAGCAAACCCGACTCCCACAATGTGTTAAGCCCATTTCTGGTGTCCCCCGCCGTGATATTGCTGGAATATTGCTAAAAGCGGCGTAAAACTAAACTCAGTCAGTCATTGGTTGACAAATCATCGGTTCCTAATTGCGCAGATCGATGCTCATGCTGTTGATCAATGGGTTGTCAGGTCCAGACTCGATTATTTACAGACCGCCGCCATATAGCTGGAATATTGCTGTGCGGCGTAAAACTAAACTCACTCACTCCTTTGGTTCCTTACTGCTGTGACAAACAGACTCAGCGTCCTATTCAGATCTTCATCATAAATACTTAATAATTTGCTGCCTAACTGGGATTCAAACCCATCCCTTTCACGTTGCCAGGAATCGAAAATCCGCACTGCCCACTGCTTTTCTTTTCTGTATTTTTATTTTTTTTAGAGATTTTCCAAGCTTTGATATTCAGAAACAGAGGGTTGCCAAAACGTTTGGTAGCTGTTTGTTCACTTTCTTTTTCTATCTGCTGAGCAGCAAGCATCAGTTCATCATCTGCTGAACTATTCATTTGGTCAAATTCCCATTCTAGGTTTTGCGACTCAAGCAGCAATTCCTCATCCGCAGAACTATTTCCAACTGTATCTACATGATTTTTGTCCCCTTTCAGAGTGATATTAAAATTGACACTCGATACACTTCCATTCAATTGCTTCGGAAAATGTATTAATGTTGAGTGACAAAGACATTGCATAAAGAACCCCATTCGCCTGACATGGTTGAAAACATCTGGTGAAATGGATGCAATAAAATATTTCGTTTGTTTTGTATCCCTCCAATACGCTTTCACGTGCACAGTAGAGCGTGTTCATAGCGTGTGTATCGTGCATACCGTGCTACCCAGATGTAGGACGCCAATATTTATATTGCTGTGTTCGGGTGCAAGAGTTGCGAAACTAGGGCGCCAATATGTATGATTTTAAGTTTAAGCGCAATAACTCCTCAGACTCGGCAATATTCGCGTGGCTGGGTGGGTCCTCGGCCTAACGGCCTCGGACTCAACCAGCCGCGCGAATATTGGCGAGTCCTCGGAGTTTATTCCTTAACTATAATTATACGGATATGGGATTCGAACTCTGCCCTACACCATACTGGTTCGTAATTGTGTATTTGTGACCACTTGGCGCCCTTTGCCCTCTACAATAAGGTTGAAAAGTGTGTTGTGCTCAACTATCAATCTAAGCTTGTTGCATTCTCATATTGAACGAACCAGCTCAGTTCTGGTGTAGGAGTGCGGCGTAAAACTAAACTCACTCACTCACTCACTCACTCTGGTGTAGGAACATTGACTTAGTATACATATCGACTAAACTACGGTTATATGGAACTCAAAGGGACTACTATCTTAGTTCGTTATATCCGAAGTTCCTTATACGCATTTCTTTGAAAATAAGGACCGGGACATAAAATGCAGCTCGTCATTTGTTATAGTGAGTGTGTTTAGTTGTACGCCGCCTTTAGCAATATTCCAGCAATATCACGGCGGGGGACACCAGAAATAGGCTTCACACATTGTGCCCATGTGGGGAATCGAACCCGGGTCTTTGGCATGACGAACGCACGCCTTAACCACTAGGCTACCCCACCGCCCCTAATTTCGTTATAAACGTAGCTGACAGTCTTCGTGAATAACCAGGTCACATTTTTACGATGACGTTTTTGAACTCTCATACTCACATTAAAGACGCATTGTTTTCTCGGGTTGCCTTTAAGGACAGGGTTCATTCCCCAGGAACCGACGTCATCTTTGCTGAAAGCAAACATATGCCCATCTTTGCACAGGGCGTACGGTTGCGTACCCTCGAGATCAGTCAGCACATGGAGGGTAGCTACGTTGTATCCATCTTCGGGACATCTGGCTTGCACTATGGAGAATATTCTGTTCAATATATCAGGGATACTAAATTGTAAATGTCTTACGTTCATAATGGACCATATCACAATTCTATCATGCACGTAAATTAAGTAAACGTTCGTTCAATTGGATCTGGTGGCTAAATATTGAAATGGGGATAGATTCTTTGAAAGGAAATGAGTGAGTTTGGTTTTACGTGGCTTTTAGCAATATTCCAGCAAAATCACGGCGGGGGGACACCAGAAATGGGTTTTACACATTGTAACCATGTGGGAAATCTAACCCAGGTCGTGACGAGCGAACGCTTGAGGTGAGGTGAAATTGGGTTTAACGTCGCGCTTGAGAATATTTCGCTCATATGACGACGTGCATGCGTGTGTCTGTATGTGCGGCTGCTTGTACTAGCTCAGACTGAAGCTGGTTTTATAGTGCTAGCCCACTGAGATACCATGCCGCAGTGAAGCATGAATACCCCACTCAGACACATTATACTGACTCCGAGTGAGTGAGTGAGTTATTATTTAACGTCACATCGGCAATATTTCAGCCATGTGACGAATACTGACTACGAGCGACCAGTTCCTGTTGTACCCATTAAGGCCGAGCGCCAGGCAGGGACCAACAAGTACCATATTTTAACGTCTTTTGGTATGACGCGGTCGGGGATCGAACCCGCGACCTTCCGCTCTCCGGGCGGACGCTCTAACCACTACACCACCGAGGCGGTCCAGCGATCGCTTGAACCACTAGGCTACCCCACTGTTTCTTTGCAAAAAAAAAGCTACTAAATAGTCTGTACAGAGAATGAAAAGACAGCACAGACAGCAGTTCACCGCATTTAAATAAATAACGGATGAACTGTTAGCAAGTAAATACACGATGCAATTCAGAACGTGTTTCTAAATGTCTGCCTTCCGTACGGACTTCGCAGGTTGGAATGCCAACACGATCTACCATCATCTACCTTATTTTGGTACGAGCCAGCGAGAAGATAGAACCCCTCAAACTCACCATGAGTAATGTAGTCTTGGCCAGGATCAACACGACCGTAGCTCTCCTGGACGATCTGGACAGAGTTCAGACAATTCTATAGTAACAATGATGGAAGTAATGATTAAATTGTTCAGCCTACTCGGTGAGTGAGTGAGTTTAGTTGTACGCCGCTTTTAGCAATATTCCAGCAATATCACGGCGGGGGACACGAGAGATGGCCTTGACACATTGTACCCACGTGTTGAATCAAACCCGGGTCTTCGGGCCAACACTTTCACCATTACGCCACCCCACCGCCCCGGTTGCAATAGGTACTTTCTTTAACATATCTTGCCAGAAACTGCAGATCTTCACGACGGTCACACTAAAGGTCACATGTCATGTATATTTGTGCTGCAGTCGAGTTGTAGTGCCATATGGCCTTGACCTGTGTACCTACCAGAGTCAAGGTGAACACCAGCGTTAGGACACCTGCAAATGAAAAATGTACACCAGTGACGCGTGTCCGTATACTACTCGAGACAAGTTAAGCAACACCCGCTATTTAAAAGTCTCTTTCAACACTTGTAAACATTGTTATGAAAGACTAGCTATAGTGACAGTAACAATCGGGCGTTCTTGTAAGTAAAATATGAGACATATAGAGGGCAAACACTTGCCTGAAGAGAAAACAGATTAGTTATTGTGAAAGGAAATGATCGGGTGCTGTAACGGGTCTGGGCCTTGCTTGGTGTAACGATGGGGTGGGCGTGTCGTGGTTCAGAGCTGTCATATGGGGACAGGGACGGATACAGCTATTTGAGAAAGGAGTCACTTCATTTTCACGAGTCTCTGTCTATCCTTCTGTCTATCCTTCTGTCTGTCCCTGTCTCTCAGTCCCTGTCTTTATCTGTCGCTGTCTCTCTTTCTCTGTGTGTGTGCGTGTGCGTGTGCGTGTGTGTGTGTGTGTGTGTGTGTGTGTGTGTGTGTGTGTGTGTGTGTGTGTGTGTGTGTGTGTGTGTGTGTGTGTGCGGATCTGTTCTATCATACCTGTCGTTGTTAGATGTGATTTCTGGAATTGTGTTGGTAACTAACCTATAATACTCAGTGCGATCTCATTCAGCTGCGGAAGGAAAAAATGTATTTTTATCTTCAATGACCTTGTTTGTATCTTATGGCTATTTGTGTGTTTGTTTGTGTGTTGTAAACGCCCCACTGACCAATATTCCAGCGAGATGGCGGCGATCTGTAAAAAGTCAGGTCTGGACCAGACAATCCAGTTATCGATAGCCTGAGCATCGATCTACGCAACTGGGATACGCTAACTTATGTCAACCAAGTCAGCGAGCCTGACCACCCGATCCCGTTAGTCGCCTCTTACGACAAGCGTGGGTTACTGAAGACCAATTCTGACACGGATCTTCACAGGTTGTATAACTTGGTATATTAAGACTATTTAACTTCGTCCATAACTACATAATCGTAAATATACATGGTACTCCCAGGACTGTAAGAGGTGTCCTTTTTTATCATTCATGATGTGACTGATTCAAGACAACTCACCTCGAACAGCTTCCATGACGTGAGGTGGTGGTTGTCAGGGATTCGTGCGGCAGGTCCGTGAAGATCGTGCTGTCAACATTTACCAATCAAAACCAAGCTCTCGTGAAACGTCACTGGTTTTGTTTTGGCGAACGTTTTCGGAATGTGAACGGAATTATTTGGTGTCACTGCTTGTTGCTCAAGAAAAACAATCTCAGGTTAAACTTGACAAATAAGTTAACTTCAAGTTAACTTGCTTCACTTCGTGATTGTATCAGCTATGTGCGTCACGTGATAGATAACACAGATTCAGTCCACTACGTGTCAAATTTGATGAAGAGATTTAACGGTTCTTCTGGTCTGGACCAGAGGCGTGTTGATTAATGCCTCATTCAGCAGTGTTGCAGCAATATGAAGGCAGTCTGTAAATAATGGAAACTGGTCCAGACAAAACAGAGATTAACATCATGAGCATTGGTAATCACAATCGGACACGATGACCCGCATCTGCAAATCTGTCGCGTCCCATCGTTTATTTAGCAATGACTAACTCTGACCCTCAACCTTCACAAGAATGGCTCGAATGAGCCACACAACACCCGAAAGATTTAACACCCTGATGCCACCCTGGACTTGTGTGGACATCAAGGTGGAGACCCTTCAGTAGCCAATGCTTGTCGTAAGAGGCGACTAACGGGATCGGGTGGTCAGGCTCGCTGACTTAGTTGGCACATGTCATCGGCATTAAACAACAGTGCGGCATTAAACAACAAATCCACCATATTAAAACGGTGGAACATGTGTCGTAGAGTTCACGGCCACGTTAATACATCGCCTAAACGGAACATTCCTACCACATGCTCGTGCATTACCTCTGTTGGACAAAATTACTGTCCAGTCGGCATGATCCAGCACAGGTGAGACTATCAACCCTCAACTAGATTTAAAAATATATTTTCATTGTTCAGAGTGAGAGTATTTAAGAATTAACGTGTGTGTTTTTTCAAACTGCAAAAAAAACACCTTGATACCAACAAGGTTGCCGATATTTATCCTCAGAGTGAGAGAAGGTTGCCATACACCGTTGCCAATTAGAATTGTACCTGTAAATTCGAACCTATGTAATATTTTTTCAGTATCTGATAGACACTGGTAGCCAATATGCTGCAAACACATAACGTTCTTCTAAAGTGTTAATTAATATTAAATAATGTTAAAATAAAGAAACACCATTTTTGTGATAAAACTTAAATAGCACTCTCAATCTCATATTTCCAAGCCTCCCAACCCGTAAGGTGGTTGATAGTTTGTCGACCCTAGCCCTATAGTTGTTTAAGAAGAGACAATTTGTTTTAATGAAGTAATATTGATACACCTTTCAAAAAGATGCATTCAAAAGTGGGTATATATGTTAACTTGCCAATTAGTATGGGGTGTAAGGTAAAATATACTAGGACTGCAGCGTACTTCACCAAAATACCAAATATAAACCATGTCTGCTCGGTGACAACCTGTTCACGAACAATCGTGACCCAGCGATTTGAGGCATAACGAAAAATTAAAGGCAATTAAACTTGAATGTATTACGTTGACAACATTTGGTACCGATGGTCTAGTGTTCCATACTGTCAATCATGAATTTTCGACGTCCTTTAATACCAGGTTCAGAATCTTACTGTCGTAAGTTTTTGTTTGTATGTCCTATAACGCCGCCCTCGGCAATATTCCAGCTACATGATGACTCTGTAAATGAGTCTGGGCAAGGCAATCCATTTATCAACATGAGCATCGATCTACACAATGACGTCTATACACGATGACATGTGTCAGTTAAGTCGGCGAGCCTACCCGCCCGATCACATAATCACCTGTTAGGACAAGCATGTGTTGCTGAAGACCAGTTCTAGCTTTGTTCTTCACGAATATACCGTAAGAGGCGACAATCGGGAACAGTTGGTTATGATTGCATACTTTGTTGCAGAATATCGTCTATCCAACTTGCAATGATCTATGAAATCACCAGATTGTCTGGTCCGAAATTGAGTATTTTCAGAATGAGCATAACGTTGGAATATTACCGAATGCAGCTTTACAAATGAATACCGAACAGTCCCCTAGCTGCCATTAACTGTTTTATATTTTCAGGGTGACCTCTGACCGTTCAAAAATGAGGTCAATTATTTTCATTCTAATATCGGTGAGTACTGAAACACGATATCTATAATACTCATTAAATGTTCAGACTGTTCAAATTAACAAATGTATTTCTTCATTTTGTGCATGTCGTATTTCCAGGATTTCCAGAATTTACCTACACGGTGACATTGATCTGTTCTGTATTTCAGGTGGGATTGGGCTCCGTGTCATGTGAACGTCTGACGCCCGGTCGGGGTAGGTTCGATTTTACAAACTCGCCTTTTCGTTCTCGAAACCCCTACTTGGAACCTTGGTCGGGAAAGATCACTAATGCCTCGGGCTTGTCCCATTCTCAGGGTCGAGTCTGACGTAGCCTAGTGGTTAAAGGGTCGCTCGTAACGCCGAACACCCGGGTTCGATTCCCCACATGGGTATAATGTGTGAAGCCCATTTCTGGTGAAACCCCCCCCGTGATATTGCTGGAATAGCGGCGTAAAACTAACCTCACTCACTTTGGTCACCGTGTGTTCACTTGTTCGCCTGTTGACGTCAAGATTCTTTACGTACAATCGTGACCTGGCCGAATTATTCAATTCCGACATTTATCAGGTTTTATAGTTATGAACAGAATTTCGAAATGTGTACAATAGAAATCTCTTTAAACATGAATACTATAATTGGTGTGTATGAGGTATTATCGCATACAAGTGTACAGTCTGCAGCGTGTTCGCCCAACAAACATTATGTTCAGGCAGTGAGTGAGGTCATTAAAGACAAACTTTTTTTCACATTTATATCTACAATTTATGTAGTTAATATGTGAAAGTGTGGAATATCTGTTAAACTAAGTTCGGCCTAACGACAGTCTCAGTGTTGAGGAGATAGGCAATTAGGAAAAGGACTTTACAGAGGAGAGATTAGATTGCGGAGTGCAGAAATGCAAATTAGCAGAAATGCTATAAAAAATACTGGATGACTTTATGCAAATTAATGTGATGCGATGATTTGTATTACAAAGACACTTTTACATGCCCTTTACGATGAAATTAGACTTAGCTTCACAAAATATCAAAATATATCGGAAAATACCTGTGACGCGAAGGGGATAACTTTAAAACTGTAACTATAAAACAATACTTTTAGAAAACATGACTGACCACCCCTGCTTTTCACGCTTTATGCATGTAGGTAAGCGTGTGCGATGATGATTGACAGAAGGCTAAGATGAGATATGTCAGGCTTTCCAAATTATCAATGCAAAGGTGCAATTAGACGATCCACTTTTAATTTTAACCTATCAAAACAAGAGTCATCAAAAGATGAAAATCCCCAGGCTCCAGAAATTGGAAAGAACAAATCATCTGACAGTTACTGATAGCCCTTTTTGAAATTAGACTTAGCTTCACTACAAACGATAGCTGGCGTAAAATAATAACTTTAAAATAACTATAAAAATCTCATACTGAACAGCAAAAGAAACGCAAGTTTCGGAAAAATGAAATCTCATGAAGGTAAGCGTTCATGTTTATGGAACGTTCATGGTAAAGTGACGTAATGATCCAAGATGAGATGATGTCATGCAATTTGACGTCCATACGAACCATTCGCACAAACACACCAACAGTGCAGCAAAACCATAATTTTTGCACGTGCATTGACAGTTCTGGATGAAAAGCATGCATTTCACCGGAGGAATTTTTTTCGAAATTGTTGCCATAAACACACACAAATATTTTATACAGAAATCCCAAACTACCAAAGGCACCAGTTTGTCAAAAAAATAGTGTACAGTCCAGTATTGACGCTATGCATTTGGCTGTGTGCTGTAGAATGATCCTTCCCTTTATGTACACGCCACTCAAAGATGCCTAGACTAAGAACTGAAATATTTAAGGTTAGAAAGGAATGGCCATTGGAAAGTTGCATGGGAGGTGAGCTCTGCAACCGCTGTAGCTAGACAATTGGGCAGTCAGTTCTGTCATCTCCATACCACTATTACACCACGAGGTATGGAACACGTGCTCAACGTCATCAGCAAACCGGGGTTGCTGCTGGTCGTCCCCGTACCGGACGGCAACGAGTGACAAAATGCGACAAAGGATTCATGCGCAAGATCGGTTCATCCGGGTCGCTCATCTAAGGAACCGAACTCAAGCACCAACAGTAACAGCAGCCTTAGTTCATGGGTCAAGGGGAGCAGTGTCCAGCGATACGATTAGGCGTCGTCTTCGGGCTGCTGGAATCCACTGCCGAAGGCCATATGTGGGGAAAATTTTGACACGCCAACCACGCCCACAGCAGGGGTGTCGATGGATTATCTGGCTCAAAACATTAACGTTTTTCCATGGCCGTCTTTCCCGTTATATGGCTCTCATTGAACATTCTGGGACGAAATTGGACGGAGGATTGGTGCAGGTAGACAGCCACTCACACTTGCACAACTGGAATAGAGATTGGTTTTTGAGCGGAACCAATTGCCTCAGGGATTCTTTCAGACTCTAATGAACTCAAAGAGGCCACGTTGCACTGCCTATATGCAAGCTCAAGGGTGCCATGCACGCGACTAAAGAGACCGTCACTTATCGCGTTCAGGGGTATCTCCATTTGACGGACTGTGATCAATTTGAACTTATTGCAATTCAATGTGAACAGCAACTTTCAGCTGTTAAATTGACGGTTTGTCTATAGAATAAATGATGGGACATGATTTTGGTTGTCTTCTATTCACAAACTTGACAAAAAGCCAGACTTGCGTTTCTTTTGCTGTTCAGTATATTAAGGATGAAGCTACCATGGAGTCTCGCTATCAATATAAATAGAAACAGGAGGGGTCGCCTCAAAATCAAAACCACGACGGGTGTCGCAGACGGTGGTTGGGTCGGGCTGGGGGATAGAGATATCAGCTAAGATGTGATATTCATTTAGGGGAATTAAACTGGGGAAGTAAACGGCATGTCATAACAATTAACAAATAATATCCAGTCCTGTCGATCTTCGGGTGGTCAAGTATA